GTGGACGTTGCGTCAAGCCAGCGGACTGAGGGTCGCCCTGTCTCTGTCGCACTCATGGCGCGTCCCGTGTGGGTGCGAGAGAGACAGAGAGACAGTGTCCTGCCAGCCCCGCGGCGACATCGTCCTACTTACGCCCCATGCGAGCGCTACTCGACTTTTCGCCGAAGCGCAGCCCGGGGCCGAGTCATTTCTATGCAATCACGAGCCCATCTGCCCACCCACGCCAGCTCACGTCATCCACTCGGAGCCAAATCCTCCACAATATTCCACAAACCTGGCGCAAGCGTGCCGATTCCGTGTGGCAACGTTTCCTAGTACGCGTTTGCGGATGTGTGCGCGTTTGTCGCTAAGTGGCGGCCCGGACGAGGGGTCAAAACATTCCGACCCAGGTCAACGGCTCGCCGCCGATTCGCCCTGGACGCACGCAGAGTGCGAGCGAGCGTGGATAATCCGTGAGCTGACTGAACTTACAGTGTGGGACGAAGAGATCAGAATCGCCCTCGCCGCACAAACAGCAGGTCACTTCAAATGACTAGGCGCATGCGCAACACCGCGGACTGCACTCGTTGGGATTGGACGGCCGCGTGCCGAGAACGGGGACGCGAGTGATGGAAAAGACAAACAACTAAACTGCCACCTTATCATTAACCTAACCTAACCTGACGTTAACCCGTTCACCAAAAAACGTTTTAAAAAATATTAAGGGTGTTGTGAATGGCGTGAACGGTGTGGCAGTGGCCGTGTTTCGAGGAGATGCTGCCGCGAGGAAACCGAGGAAACATAATGCCTGCTGCCTTTTCTTGTCGAATCCCGGAAACCCTTTGCATCGGCCAGCTCTAGATCTCGCCCGAGCTGCAATGTCTCTGTTTCTCCCCCTCCCCCTCGCTCCCATTGCGCTTCGTGCATGTGCTCAGTGTGTGTGAGTGTGCGTGTGTGCGTGTGTGTGTGTGTGTGCTCCTCAGAGCTCAGAGAGACAAGTTTCGACAAAAGATCCTGGCAGTGTCTTCGTTGTTGTATTTTTTTTACCATTTCCTTGCGTTCTCCCCTTTCACTTTCAACCACCCCGCACACACACACACACACACTGCCGTCGCCGACAATTTTCTGATAATATAATTAGCCACGCTCGACGTCCCGCTGATTATACGGCTAATTTTGTCCAAGCCGAGGACCTCGTTAGGAAGGCTGAGGTATTAGCCGGCGGCGTGGTGTATAGAGAGGTCCTCCCGCACACTGGCGCGCGCGCGTGCACACACTCACACACACACACACACACACACACACACACACACACACACACACACACACGGCGGGTGATTAGAACGGCCATCATGTGAGCGGGGCTGCGCCGGCCCGCAATAAAAGTGCACCCGTTCCTCGGGAGACTGATTCCGAGCGGGCGGCCTCTCTCTCTGTCTCTCTCGCACTCGCGGGGCGTGCCTGCCGTGGCTGGCCGTGGCGTCGTGGGTGCGAGAGAGACAGCACGGTTCGGAGTCGGCCTGCCGGGCCGTAGCGCGGCGCCGAGGTGTGGCCGCGTGGCCGCCCGCTTTCTCACTCGGGCTGGACGAAGACGAAGACGAAATTAAGATCGGTTCATTCCGCGCGTTGATTCCAGCCGATTCCAGCTGGCCGCGGCGCCGCGGCTAGACCAGGCTAGACCAGGCTAGACCAGGCTAGACCAGGCTAGACCAGGCTAGACCAGGCTAGACCAGGCTAGACCAGGCTAGACCAGGCTAGACCAGGCTAGACCAGGCTAGACCAGGCTAGACCAGGCTAGACCAGGCTAGACCAGGCTAGACCAGGCTAGACCAGGCTAGACCAGGCTAGACGCGGCGGACCGCGGACAGAGCGGTGCGGCCTGCGGGACGGAGGGTGGACGTTTGGCGAGCGTCCAGACAATCTTCGGCATGCTGCCGCCTGGTTCCGAAGGATCATTTCTTGGCTCTGTCTCTCTTGCACGCCGACGTCACGGCCCGGGAGTGCGACAGAGACAGAGCGACCCTTGAGGCGCCCGTGGCAGGACGTGGCAGGAGCGTGTCGTGCGGGGCGCAGGGATTACGTCATGGCCGTCATGACCACCCCGGCCGCCCGGACCGCCTGCACCGCCTGCAGACTGATTCCGAGCTCCGCTGTCGTCGCTCTGTCTCTCTCGCACTCACGGGGCGTCCCGCAAGGGTGCGACAGAGACCGAGCGACAAGCAGTGCTGAGCCTGCTGGACCCGGACCGTCGCCGCGTCCCCAGGCGTGCTGCTTGCTGCCGGGACGCGGGCGGACCGGGGCGGACACTAGCACAGCGGCGTCTTCCGTCTCTCTCGCACCCGCTCGAGACGCCCTGTGAGTGCGAGAGAGACAGGGTGGCCGACCACCGCACTGTTCGGAATCAGCCTGCAGGCCAATCAAACTGAGGGCAGTCGGTAAACAAGCCCGGCTGGCGGACGTATTTAAGAGTGCACTTGGGCACTTGGGCTGGGCTGTGCGTTCCGCGGTCAAGCTATCGCGACAAGGTAGAGGTAGTCGATCGAGGCGAGGCGGGGACTCCACCTCACTTTGCAGCGTGTTGTGCGTGTCCTTCCAACGCGGCATCTCTAGTGTCGTCACCGGATCAGAACGTTTAGTGTTGCGACGAGCCCACAGTGCCAGGTCCGGGCCCTTCTAGGTGCTCTTGGCTGCTCTTGGCTGGCTGCTCTTGGCCTGCCTGTGCTAACCGCGCCGCTACTTACAGCCGCGCCCCGCCATGTACGGCACGCTGCAGTGCGCCGACCCTGCCCGGCCAGGCCTAACCTAGACTCGCCTAGACTCGGCTTGACAGTTTTCGTCAAAACGCCATTATGCCGTGTGTATGATGGACTGGCTGTCTGGGACACTGGGAGCGCCAGCAGACTCCACTGCAAGGAGGCGGTCAACGTTCTGGGGCGCCGCAAGTCAAGCCAATGGGATTCGGACTGCAGAAAAAATTCAACGCACGTGATTCCAACGACATCCAAAAACTTAGCCCTTGATTTAGTCCCACCCTGAAATATCTTGAGAGAGCCTCTGGAGAGGGATCTCCACTGTAGAGCGAAAATTTCGCCGAACGTGGTGCTGCAATCATTCGGATGGAAAAACCGTAACGTACCGTTGGACCTTGCCGATTCCTCACAGACATAATTATTTACTTGACTGCACAAAGAGGCAGAAAGAAGTGAATGCCCCGCGGCTTCGTTGCATGGCGCCAGTCAAGCGGGAGATGAGAAAGGTCCTTTCTTTCTTCGCCGACAGCCTCCGCATTGAATACCCGAAAAGATTCGTTTCATTAGAGAAACGAATGAAAGAAAACACGCGACGCGTGCAGTACGGCGGCCGAAATGCTGACCGACTTGGACGGGTTTTCGGCGCCTGTGAGGTAGGCCACCCACCCGTCCGGCAACACACCACTGTGGAGACGGTGGCCTACCTTGCCCCTGTGACGGCGGCAGGCGCAAGGTAGGCCACCGTCTGTACGGGGGTGCGCTGCGGGTGGATGGGTGGCCTACCTCACAGGCGCTCCAGCTCCAGGGCCCTGACCAAGCGGGGCACGAAAACGGCGCCAGCCAAATGAGCCCCCGTCGAAAATAAAAGAAAATCCTGACACCTGATGTGCCTCTGCGCCCGGCCGGCTGGCCATGCTCAATGTTTCCCAGCTCGCATGCCGTGCTACGCAGCATACCCAAAACAATAAGCTTATCACGCAGCCCGTGGCCTCGATCGATGCGCAGTGTATGGAAATTCTCCCAAAGTATGTTCGGCGCGTTCGAATACCGCCGCAAGCCCTTTTTTTTCGAAGTTCGAAGCCGTGTTGGCCTTAACGACGTTGCCGGGCCTCGTGCCTGCGGCTGGCTTGCAGTGGCTTGGCGGTGGCCGTGCCGCGGTGCCATGCTGGCGATGCTGGCCGCGGCGCGCGGCGCGCTGCGCACTCGCTCGGCAAAGAAGGCCTTCTCTCTCGCTCCCTCTCTCTTTCTCTTTCTCCCGGCGCGGCGTGGATACCGGTCGGTGCCTCCTTGGCCTCCCACTGCGTCCCACTGTTCCACCGCGTCCACCTCCTCGGCGGCCGGCGCTCCTGGTGCCGCGCGGCGCGGAGATGTGTGCAGTGCGCATGCGCCAGCCCGCGTTGCGTTTTATTTACCCTACCAACCGTGCCTTTCCGCGAGTCGTTCGTTATCCGTTGTGAACACGCATCGGAGGCCCCGGCCGCGACGGCACGAGAAAGGTCGGTCCGACGGAGAAATGCTGAGCGGTAACCCGCGAGTTCGCTTCCCTGCGTCTGTGTCTGGTCCTCCCCGACGAGCACTCTCTGCGAAGCCGAAAGGGAAGCACGCAGTTAAGGCCTGGACCAGCACCGCTGCAGCACCTGTTGTTGTCAGGGGGGGATGTGCTCCACCGAGCAGTGCAGCAGCGCACCTGGGAGGCCCCACAGGGCCCCACCTGCGAAGAGTCTTTTCGTCGTTGTCTCTGCCGCACTCGAGCGTCGACCGACGGGATGCGAGAGAGAGAGAGAGAGAGAGAGAGAGAGAGAGAGAGAGAGAGAGAGAGAGAGAGAGAGAGAGAGAGAGAGAGAGAGAGAGAGAGAGAGAGAGCGACGAAACGACTTTTAAGGGACGTGAACTTGTGTGACGCCGCCGCCCGCCGGTCGGGCCAGAACGGCAGAAGATCAATGGGCCAGCCGGACAGGGAAGGCCACCCTTGCTCCACGCGCGCGCGGCGGGCTTGCCCGCAACCGTGCACGAACACGCTGGGTGCGAGCGAGTCTTACGTTACTCTACTTTCTGGCAGGGAGCGGGAGCACGAAGACATCTAAGTCATACTAGACGGCACAGGCCGGTAGGAGGGCAGTGCTTCCAAACGCACACCACGGCGCCGCGGGGTATGAGTGACGCGGTATGCGGAGGCGTTGTGTTTGGAGCCAACTTAGGCTTCGGTGCGTTGCATTGTCGGTATGTACGGACTTGGGAGTTGCTTTTGAGACGAGTAAGAACGAAACAAGAATTAAAGAATAGGTTTATATTTAATACTGTTCTTTGAACAATATTTCACTTATTCATTCATTAATCAAACTTGGTCCCGCAAAAATAGTGTCAGTAATACAATTCACAATAGAAGCAGCTTTGGATGAATTTCAGTATCACAGAGTCATTAATTAATTCTCTTACATCTAAAACAAAAAATGAGTCTTATACATTAGAAAGATGTGCTTGACAAACTCACAGAAAATTAACATTGTAAAAAAAATAGGAAATCTCAACAAAAAATTTCCTTTTGTCAGAAACCTTAAATGAGACATGAAATCAGAAATGAAGCATAGCATATTGACAAAATATTATTTTGATTATAAATAATAGCAAGCAAAATCTGTTGAATGCAACATCAATGTATCAACAAGCATACAAGATTTGGGATTGCAAATACAAGGAAACCCTGAACACCTGAGTGCTCTCTTTAAAACAAAAACAACTACAACACTAAAAACAAACAGATATTAGTCTTTCAGAAACAACAGAAATACGTTCGGGAATTAACGTAAAAATTAAACAGGACTGTTTGTTTTTGTTTATTAAAATGAAAGGAACATGATTAATACCTTGTAATTGTACCATGCAGTTAAATCGCTTGCTGAGCTTTAAGACTAGCTATAATGTTGATTAAATTAATGACTTATAGACAACAACTTAAAGAAAACTTGATGTGATAAATCCAAAAATATGTTACTGGACTATACAGAGTCAATTTGATTGAGTCACAAATATAATACCAGGTTACTTTTTTAAAAACAAGGGTTGCAGAAATTATGAAATTAGTTCACCACATGTATTTAAATCTACAGTTGCTGTAGAATGAGGGACAACACTGATGTGATTACAAAGGGAAGCCAAGAAAATAAAATGTAGGCAAGCATCCCAGTCTCAGAACATGCAACCTATATGATTGATGAATACTTAATCCAAACTTGGAAATTTAAATGAAGTGCGTATTGACATCATCAGAACAGGAAATTTTATCACTGATCTCCATAGCTCCATGGTAAGTCTTCTCCAAATTTGCTTCGGTGAGCTGCATTTTTAGCCGCATACAAGATCTGCAATTGGCAAGAGAAACTGATATCACTGTGATACAGAGAGATTAAGAAATAATTAGGTATGTTAGAAAATTACCCTTACCGCATTATCAATGTAAGCTTCACATTCATAACACCAAACCGATAAATCAGAGAAACTAAGGGTCAAAGGATGCCCTACTTCATGGCCATGTCCAGACATATGTTCATTGACATACCGACCGCATAAAACCTGCAGGATAACAATGGCTGTCCTTAGGACCAAACACTAGCATATCCAAAAATACACTATAGGGTAAATAATTGCAAATAAAATTCACCTTGTAACAAACAAGACAAGTCCAGTTCTCTTGAGGACTGCTGCATGATTCACAAAGTGCATTTGTGTCAATTCCTCTTTCAGGCACAGGTTCCACGCTTGGTAAATGTGGACAGTCAGACAACGGAACAACAGCGAACATTCTTTCTTCAGCAAGCATCTAGAAGAAACGAAAGAATATTAATGCCATTTAATACACAATGTGCACTGCTCTAAAAATGAATCAAATTAACATGTATCTGACTTTGTTAACAGAGAAATAGAAACAAAATCAATCAGTCTTACTTGCATATTCTCTGATAAAAAGTCAACAAGTGTTGGGCGGCTACCATCTCCACCTCTGGCTGAGCCAAAGGATGATCCTTCACCACTTCCCCCGGCACTTGTTCCAGCAGATGAATTTGCATCAGATGAAGAACCAGCTTTAGAGTGGTCAGGTGCTGGTGCTGCCACCATCGGGGTGTAGTTTGCAGCTGTGGTAGTTTTGGTGGTGCTTGCGTCATGGTCTTTATGATGATTCATTGAAATTTCTCTCTCAGTCAATTGAACCTTAGCTAGCATCCTTGTAAGATCCTCAGAACTTTCTTGAGAGGAGAGTATATCATCCTCTAGCGGCAGAGCGACCTATCCACATAAGAGCATGAGCATGACTTAATAGTAATTCATTGATAAGGATGGAGAAAGTGGTTGAAGTTCATTTAGAGAAAAATAATTCCTCTAGAACTATCTTGTAAGGAGTAACTTGCCTGGAATTTTAAACATGGCCAATATTTTTGCTGAGTGGCAACAACAGTACGTATGCTTTGCACTCCGTTCACACTTGCAACTGATCCTTGTTCCAGCATGGGAAGGGGATCGCCCAATAGTGCCTTTGAACACATTGTCATAGCATAGGATATAGAATTCAAATTGTATCCACCTTCTAGGCAAAGAACCACACGGCCACCAGCTAAAGCCTTGAGCCAGTGCGTAAGGTGACCATAGCATTCAGGAGAAACTTTGCAGCCTACAAATATATAAAAATAATGTGTCATCAAGCAGTAGGTACATTAAACTTCAGTGAGGTAAGAAAACAATGTTCAGGACCCATACCGCCAAGAGGGTCCCCTACTGCTGCATCAAATCCAGCCGAGACCAAGACCAATTCAGGGTTGAATTGGTATGCAATGGGTAGAACAATTTGGTGGAATGCAGCTACATAGTCACCATCACTCATTCCTTTCTTATTCCAAGGTATGTTGACATTGAACCCTTCACCCTTCCCAGTTCCAACGCGGTCATGACCAGCATCCAAAGAGCCAGGAAAGAAGTTGCCATTGTCATAGCGATGAAGTGAAATATAGAGAACACGTGGATCCGATTCAAAAATGTGTTGAGTACCATTACCATGGTGCACATCCCAATCCACCAAAAGAACCCTGAAATTTAAAATGCATAAATAAATGATTATGACTAATCAAAATTAATTTTGATAGGTTGAGGCAAGTGCTGTAAGGATTACCTGGAGAGGCCATGCTTTTCAATTGCATACTTTGCAGCAAGTGAAACATTGTTGAATACACAAAAGCCACAGGCCTTATCAGACTCAGCATGGTGTCCTGGAGGTCGGACCACAGCTACTCCAGTTGCACTTTCCCCAGTCAATACAGAATCCACAACCTAAACAAGTAAAATGATGTTAAAAGTGATTTAACAACAGAAATTGAACTGATAGTTCAGACACACATACAAAATAAAGAAAAGCAATAATGCAGACCCACCTGAAGCACACACCCAGCAGCAACAGATGCAGATTCATAGGAATTGTTATGAAGGTATACTGAATGAAGTTTTTCTTGTTGTTTATTCATTTCCTCTTGAGATTCATTGGCCAAAGATTGCATTGCTGTTATGTGACTTTGTGTGTGTACCATCAGAAGCTCTTCTTCTGTGGCCACGCGAGGTGGGAGGATGTGGCTTCTCTGCAGCAATCCATAATCCTCAAGCATAGTTTGAATACTTGAAACCCTTTCAGGTCTTTCTGGATGAGACTCTTCATTCCTATTGAAATGTTTCAGCATGCGGGAATCATAGACCACACACATCTTGTGAGGCGGCTGATAAAGCTTTGTACCTAAAAATGTTTTTGTTGATTAATTTTGATGTTTAGATAGTTTGATAAATACAATATTATAAGATAAGAATTGACATACTTGATATTAAGCTATTCAACTTTGATGCTACAGACATCAAGAATACAGAGCTTTGAACAGGATAGCAGTTCCTTGTCTCAAAGGATGTGGGAGGAGGTCCATTTGGACCAAAGAAAATAGCTCTGGGTATGTGTCGGGCTTGGAGAGAAGTTTCTGGCTCCTTATTTTCTTGCTCTGCTAGCGACCATGTGTCTTGCATTTTGAAGCAGTCCCAATGTGAACGGTGAGAGTAGATGACATCTAATATAGTGTTACGTATACTGTTCAAGCAAAACAAAAGTCATGGAAGTGGACATGAGTGAAAATAGGGTTAATGATGCACATCAAGACAGATATCTTACACATCACATGGAGGGTCCATTGGTGGAAGTTGTGGGGTCGGATGCCCCAGTAGGGCTCGCAGAGTCAGGGCAGCTCCTTCTGCTAAGGAGCGAAGACAATAGCCACCCTGCCAGAAAAAGGTTAATCAAAGTCAAGTGAAATAAATAATGCTGTGGTTTCTCATCTCTGGTAATAACTCACCTCAAGAACTACAGCCAACTTTCCATTTGAAAGAGCAGACAGGCTGTTGATTAAATGAGCATAAAAAGCTGGTGTAACTTCCATCTCTCCCTGAGGGGTTGCAAAAAATGAAAAGAAACCAATTATGTCACAATTTAAGACCAACACGGAGTAAAAAAGAAAGGGATGGGTAGGTATCAAAATTTTAAAACATGGAAAACTATCAAGAAAATAAAATTTTCATCCCTATGTTTTTTGATGTATTTAAGTCAAAATATTACTTCCACTTCAGGAATACCTTTTCATCGCCCAGGGCAGAATCTAACCCACATGAGATAATTATCAGCTCAGGACCATACTAGGGAAAGGAAACAGAGAGTTTAGGGAAGTGTAAAATAAGGCCACCCACTGATCCCTTTGGTGCTCAAACCATTCACTTGCATTACTATACTAGGAAAATAAAGTCAGCCTTAGAGGAAATTAAGTTTGTAGGCCTTCTGAAATTTAAGTGGTATTTCAGCTATAAAGACATGGTTTGAGGCAAAAGGAGCAATGGGCGTTCAATTGCTGGTGTACCTCAGGACATCCGATTGCAGCATCATATCCTGCTGAGACTATAATAAGTTCTGGCTGAAACTGAAGTGTTTTAAAAAAATTAAGATTAAAGAACATAATATTATTACACATAAATGTGCTGTACGAAGGTGAACCATCAGTCCATGGAGAAAACTTTAATATCCATATTAAATACCACAAAAAAAGAGACTGACCTCACAAGCCATGGGAAGTAGCACCTGCTGAAAGATAGCTAAATAATCAGCATCAGCCATACCAGTGGCATTCAAAGGCACATTAAAGTTAAATCCAGCTCCCTTCCCTTTTCCCACATAGTCAAAATCACTTTCTCGAAGATTTGGCCAAAATGTTCCATGCTCATAACGATGAATTGAAAAGTAGACAACTCTGGAAAATTATTAGACATAAAAATAAAACCCTGCACTGGTGGGAAAGCTATTGACAGAAGACAAGGAGTCTGAATTACCTAGGATCATCATAGAACATTTGCTGAGTGGCTTGGCCGTGATGAACATCCCAATCAATAATTAAAATGCGAGAGAGACCCAAATTTTCAAGGGCATGGTTGGCAGCTACAGCCACATTGTTGAAAAAGCAGTATCCACAGTATTCACTTTTCATGGCATGATGACCTGGTGGTCTGCAACATTTAAAAACAAAAAACATTATAATATTTATTATTATAATTTAACATCCAAATGGTTCGGCTTTACCATTAACATCCATACAAAACAAACCTTATTATTGCCATTCCATTATGGACTGAACCTTTGCAAATATTTTCCACCAGTTCTATGGTACTCCCAGCAGCCAGCAGGGAGAGACGATAAGTACTCTAGAATAGACAATCCTATAATGCTATTGCATTATGCTTACACAAATGAAAAAAATCATATTTACTGACCGGGTGTATGTAAATTGCATCATATTTAGAGGAAAGCTTTTCAAGGTAATCTTCCTCTGTTACATTTTCAGTTGCCTTTAAAATTTCAATCTGCTCTGGGGTATGTTTGGCAAGAAGCTCTGTTTCTGTAGCTTCTCGGACTGGAATTTCTTTGCAGTGCTTTAAAAGACCAAGTTCTTCACACCTGCGCCAGAACCAGATGAGAAATCAAAACCGTGAAACAAACTAAATGTAAGTTTCAACAACAGTAAGGCTCACCTTTCAAGAACTCTGGTTAAGCGCTCAGGGCATTCCGGGTAAGTTGAATCCCACAGACAACGATGTTCAGCCATTCGTCTGTCATAAACCAGGCCAGTTGGTTGAAGAGACATGACCTTTGCATCCATTGCCTGGAACGCGAGAAACAAAAGAAAACAAACAATTTTGTCAGTTTCTTGATATAAAGAAAGTTAATGCACCACTAGTTAATGGTATAACTACACCAAAAATCAGTTCTGATCAAAGGCACAAGACAAATTACTAAGATTACCATATCTGATCTATGACAGTGAAAAGGTTCACAATGAAAACAAGGATAGAATTACAATTTAGCGCAAGGAAAATCTATAAGGAATAAAAGTTACTAGAGATTATGCAAACTAGCGGTTCATACAGAGCTAGTACGGCTAACCAAGCAAATGGTGTTCACAGAAATGAGAATTATGACTGGCGCCCTGCCACTATCTTATGCTCAAGGCAACAATTCCAAACAGAAGATAACAGTTCCTCCCCAAGAAGAAGGTACAGTTTCTCAAAGAGAAGCACACTTACATTCTGATAGATGTCTCTAACAATATCATTTGGTTTCTTGTTCATACTACGCTGTTTAGCCTTCCTTTTGGCTGCCAATAAAGCTGCAGAGGGTTTGGTAGGCTGTTTTGTCTGAGATAAAAAAAAACAAAAATAAATAAAAAAGTAACAGGGAAAGGCCAAAAGACAAACAACACATTCATATGCTAAGGATGTGGAACACAGACAAGCTGCCAGAGATAGTGGCAGTCTTATCAGATGAAACCACACCGGGTGCTTTCCAACTACACAGCGCACACATCTACCAGTATGTACCAAGTCTCACTATCAGTGTAAGTAAGAAATTTCGTTCAGAAAGTGTAGTGCTACTGAAAAATTAAAATCCTACAAAGAAACTGAAAACGTGAAGGCCTTTACGACAAATATGAGAGATTCAGTGCTTCATCATTGTTAGAAATTGTGCTGGGAAAGTAATAGAAATTAGGCCAATAAGTGACTCCGCAAAGTACTATTTAAAGTTCTCCTGTGGTTAATGGCTTTAAAAAAAAAAAACAACAACTTTCATAACAAGAAGGAAACAAGTCAATGGCTTGTCACCATTCACATGCAGTACAGTACAATAAAACTACTTCAAGAACTTCAAGCCTGTAAATTTCCAAGTATTAAATTTGCTCTTGCTCTACAAAAATTGTAAATAATAAAAGTATTTTGTGTACAGGGAAGGAAAAATTCTGAAGTTGAATTAGCATACCGGTTGTCCAGTGTTCAGACGGTGAGAGCGTCGTAATGCTCCGTCAGGATTTGCAGATCCTGTCCTCAAAGTTGACATTATAAAAACAGTTTAACCTGAAAGAGCACACAAGATATTAATTCAAAAGATAGCAAAACTGATCTGAAACAGATAGTGAGAAGTAAAGTGGTTTCTAAGCTTACGAGAATAGCTGACTAACTCAATGAACGAGTCAGTTAATCAGTTGCTATTTAAAACTCTAACTGTTCCATCAGAGTTGATATCAGTAAATAATTATTACTGCAAAGAGAAACTTTCCTACCGAAAAAATATTAATGTCACTAATTGATCTCAAACAGTTACAGGAACAATCCAGGAAAACTGTTTCCAAAAACAGGTTGCTGACTGAAGGTTAGCTGCACCATACGCCTACACAAACAGTGACGTCTGAATTCTCTGACATAAACTTACGATTAGACGAATGTTCACCAACACATTGATTCTGACTGAACAGAAAGCGCCTCGAAGACCTCGCATACGCTAGACATAATTTGAGGAAAACAAAAAGTTATCAGGGCGTTTCGGTTTCGGTCTAATTCATACGGCAGTTTGTTTCGGTTCAGATTAAAGAGCCGTTGCCGTTGTTTTGTTTTCATACGGTGGGACGTGGGCTTGTTCCATGTTCCTCAGCGGCAACGGTCACTTATGGTCAGTTGAAGGTTCTCTCCCGCCCTTTCCCGCCCCTCCCTCCTCGCCCGCGCCCCCGCCCCCTCCCTCACCGTGTTTGTTTATTTTCTTGCCCCGTGTCGTTGTGCCGAATGTTTTCTAATATATTTAACTTTGAGCCATTTGACAGTTATTGTTTTATGGCTTTAAGTGTGCTGTAGATAAAGTTAAAGCAATTCGGTATATCAGCCGTTTTACTTTCGGATACGAACTTCTGTTGTCTGCTTAAGTAGCGGCCGACCGCTAGGTACCGCTCAACGTGCATTTTGTTCAATTAAAAAATCGTTGTACTATTGCTGTTTCTTGCTGCTACACACCCCATGATGACCCACATTAGAATGAGCTGAGTTTTATTCTCAAGGGCTCCATCTTTGAAAGAGTGAACCGACTATGTACCAAGGGAGACATACCTCCCACCTCCCAGGATCCATTTGTAGAGGGAAAAATGAAGGAAGACATGGCTAAAGAATACTCACTGTCATAAATAAAATGCTCTTTTAATGTCCGAAAATACAAATAAATCAATCCACCTCGAGTGGTCATTATCATATTGTTTAGAAAACTATACTGCAGGTTAATTAACAATGGCAATGTAGTACACTTGCTGAAATGAAAACACTACAAGAGAAATTGATACGAAGAAGCAGAAATAGATAAAAGCAAACAGAACATACCAGGATGTAGGATGTGGATTAAACATCAAACAGACAAGTGGAATAAATTAAAGTAGATAGTATGTGACTAAAGAATACACTCAAACTGCACTGATGCATATAACTGCTTTCTCACAGCCGTTCAATAGTGATGCAAACAAAAGCAACTCACATGTTATAATATTCATATTTTAGTTACAAAATATATGCTATATCACATAAATTACATCTACATTGGTATTAAAAAAATGATCAAATGTTACATGTAAGTTCACATTATTCCTGCCTCAATGAAAAGGATTTGCTAACATATGAGAACTGAGGTGAAGTTTGGAAGCTACACATTGATTGTTCAGCAGAGTGTGGAGCATAGAATAGAAAAATAAAAATAAGGTGAAATTAGTCGCGAACTTGAGAAAGATTACGAGAAAAAGTGCATTGTAAACATGCTAGAAGACACTTAAGGCAACAGCAAGGCTACACTAGCTATGCAAAATATACTTTTTAGTGAACCTATACAGGCTTCTGATCCATGAGGACTACCATATATCACAACTCGAAATAGAAAAATTGAACAAAGATATCCAATTGCCAACAAATCACAAATTTAAAACAGCCGAAACATGTCCTCTAAAAATTCTCTCTTTAACACTCAACAACAATGGAGTAAAAATATTCAACCCAAATTTTACAGAAAATATGGAGATCTTTGAGGCGATTCCCTAAATAAATACAAACTCTATCATATCACGGTTTAGGAGAAATAAACTCAAATTTTAGGGCACAACCAACATTACAACGCACAAGAGACAGAAAAGGTACTTATAAAAATAAAGTTTCATTCATAGATTGAGAGAGAAAAGGCTTTGTTTCAAAATTTTAAGAAAAAAGAAACAAATACATGACATAAATGATGTACTGTAACAGACACACTTAATATGTTATGAAAAGTGATTGATCCACCTTCATTAGATTCAAAAATGTAAACTTTTACAACCAGATCCATACATTTACAAGTGACAAGAACACACCATAAGGCTTTGAAAGAGAAACACTAATTTTAACCTACATAAACTAATTTTTAATGGTGACTTGTAGTCTAAGCAAGGCTGTTACTTGGATGTGATAAAGCATTGCAGTGGTAAGCAATTTGTTAATAATATTTGGTTTCTTATTAATTGGCACAAATAAATTAGTAATTTAAAAGCGACACTTAACACAAGACATGAACAATTTGAGGTAATACTATACAAGATAAACCAAAGAATGAACCCTTCTACGAAGCAAATTTGCAGCCAATATAGATACTTAAAAAGATAAAAGAAAGGACTAGGTGGTTTAGTGACAAGAAACTTTTATGCAATCAGTTAACAGCTTACTCCAGAAAAGATTGCAAACAGATAAACTTTAATACATGATTACAGGGTATGTACACATCAAACAGATTAAGCAAGAATTCCCTCTCAAAAAACAGATTCATGGATCACAACAAGGCACATTTGTGTGAATCTAATATCAAAGGTCAAAATTGGACTCGCTAACCACACACTAAATTGGAAATCATGCATCTAATTGCACTTGAAAACTAATATCATGCTTAAATTAACAGGCACAAAACTAAACTCTACTTGAAAGTTCTAATTACAGTGAAAAGTAACAGAAGTTGAACAGCAAAATTCTTAACAAACTTAATTAAGATACTTTCTGCATCGTCTGGCAAGACAATGACAATGAATCTTTTCTTCTTCAATGGGAAACTTGTAGTCATAGGTTAACTCTTCACCTTGAGGGATACGCCGGAATGCAAAAATGATTATGTGTTTTTTGCCAAGAATGTCCACAACCCTAGAGTAACAGTTGGGCTGAAAGAGACAAAAGATATTTTTATGAAATTGGTAAACAAAAATATAAATTTATGGTGACAGTCTATGAAGAGAACAATTTCTTTTGTCAGTGGTGTAAAAATTACCTCGCAGGAATGATTGATGAACCTTGCAGCATTTCCCTTTTGAGTGGCATCCACTGTAAAATTGTCATCCACCTTGAACATGTAGCAGCCAATACCTTTAGATTGGTAATATTTCTCACGATTATCTGTGAGTGTATTACGAATCACCTAAAAGAAAGTATAGAAATACATTAAGCTACTGTTCAATATGTTTTGAGTCTTCATCCAAGTCAAAGGCATACCTCTCCAGCGTATTCAATCACCATCTCTCCTGCCTCAATATCACGAAGACAAAATAGGCCTCGGCCATGAATATCAGACCGAAAGACGCCAACAGATGTTTTGGAAGTTTCTCTTAGATGCCGGAAGCGCATTGCCATGGGCAAACTGGTGCTGGCTGTGCGCCTGTTAGCATAAAATATCATCCATAGACAACATTACACAAATGAAAAAATTAGAAGGAAAAGATATGTGCCACAGAAACTTGCCTGCTGCCATTTAAAGCATCAATGTCATTGTTGTCAAGCAGCTTCGGTGGACGCCTGTGTCGAGAATCTAACCAACTGAACATGTCATATTTCTTGGCTGATAAGTATGGGTCTGTTCGTGCACAACCAGAATTACTTTCTTTGAGATCATGATCTTCTCTATTGTACTGATATCCTGGACCAGGTAATCTTGACTTATGATAGATGGGTCTATATCTTGTACAGTTGCCCACACCTGGGAGTTGTTCTAAGAGATACTTCAAGCTGTTGTTACCAAGACCCATAACATTATGTCCAGATTCAATGGAGTTAAAAGGGTTGTGAATCAAAGGGGGCATTTTGTGATTAGATCTTGCTTCTTGCACAGCACCAAAAACCTACAAAAAAAAACGCAAATTAAAAAAAATAAAAATAATAGTAAATTAAAAAACGTTACAAATCTGCAGTTATTAAAGAACATGACATCCCATCCAGAAATACAAACCTTTTGCCAGGCATCAGATATAGACGTAGATGAGTAAGCAAAGCCATCAGGGCAATTAATTTCATATAGTATTTCAGGGGCAGGTGGCCCTGATTTCTTAGAAACTGTATCAATCGGTTTCATATTTTCATCTTTGATTCCTCTTTTGTCCTTCAGGACATTGCTGATCATGCTTATGTCTGCAAGCTTTACTGCCATCAGCTCATTATTATCCTTCTTGCCAGGACTGGATGAAACCTTGTAACAACCATTGTGGGCTTGCTTTTGAAACAACAACTTCAAAGATGTGCATGAATTGTCTACATTTGCAGGTCCTAATGGCAAGTCGCCTTGGCCACAAGAAACATCACATCTTTTAGCTGCATCAATATTTTGACTAGTGGATTTTAACACCGATGGGGGAACCACACAGGCCTCTTTCTCCATGGTCTTTAACACAACAGGTTTCACTTCCAGACTTTGTTTTATCTTGTTTACTTCCTTCAGTGGCTTCAGGCATGTGACATTAGTGCTCTGAAGTTTTGTTGTGGTCAAAGGTACTGTTGCATTTGAGGATCCTGTCACAGTTGTGGCAGTGCTAGCAGTAGAATCAGTGATGCTGGCAGTCATCAAACTTAATGACACATTTTTCCCAACTTGACCTTGAGAAGAATCAGATGTTCCATGATTAGCAGGCTGCGATACAATAGATGGTTTTGAAGTTGCGTTGGATGAAGTAGCAAGAGAAACAATTGGAGTCATAGGCGCAGTCAATTTAACTTTGGATGCTGATGAGGCTTTTAAGGGCGCCTTCATAGAGGTAGAGGCAGTGGAGGTCACTATCTTGATACTTTGAATGTTCTTCAGGTCAGAATTTCCGACTACTTGGGATTGGGGAATTACAGCAGCAGTGGGTTTCTTTATGGAGGCTGACGAGTCAGTTTGAGGATCTACTATACAGTCAGAGGTAGGAAGAGGCTGGCTTGTTGCTGTATTGGCTGGAGCTGGAACGGGCTCAGTGTTTACAGGGAGCGACACCAAACAGTTGTTTTCCTTAAGCACCAGCTGTGCCTTTGCTTCTTGCAGTTTGCTAGGTAGGCTTTTAGGGATAATAATAGTACTACTCAGAGGAGTAGTCGAGTTGGTGACCACCTTTGGCTTACCCTTCTCTACTGCGTGAGCACGGTAAGAGAAAGTGACAGGTGGGCATTTTACGGCAGGTGTTGTAATAGGTGCAGAGAGAACCTTTGGCCCGTTAATGATAGGCCGATTCAATTTAACAGGATCAGGTAGAGTTATGCTTTGAGCCGGAGCTGTAATTGTAGTTATTACTTCAGACGTAGGCTGGATCGCAGTGACAGGACTAGGCGAGGGATTCATCGCTTTGAGGCTTTGCAGAAGGATAGGCTTCTTGGGTAAGGACTCCATTAACTTTGGTTCCTTGCTGACCTCAACTTTGCAGGAATTGGTCTTTGTAGGGGGTGTAAGCTCTTTAGTGATTTTTGAGACTGCTTGGTTAGACAGCTTCTTCATGGATTCCTTCAAAGCTGAGCAACTTACTTGTGGCGCAGGTTTCTTCACAACAGCAACAACAGTCTCTTTATTCCCTTTACTTGGCTTCGAATATGTTCGTTGAGGCTGAACTCTTGGCATGGGAGTCACAACAGAAGTGGGAATGACAGGAGGCAAAGTTTGTGGAGGTAGTGGAGCTGTTACTGTAACTGGAACAGGCAAATTAATAGATGGCATGTGAATCTGTGCTGGATTTTGAATTGATGTCTGCTCCTGTACATGAGGCTGAGATATTGACATGACCTCAAGTTTGCCCACAGAAGCATCTGACAATTGAGGATGGGTATTCACAACAACATATTGGGTTGGAACATCTAATACTGGAGGATCAACTTTGCTTGCTTGGAAGACTTGGGTAGTAGTTGTTGAGAATGTACTGCTTCCCTGTAGCATACCAGGTACAGAAGATGAAACGAACTGGCTGGACGACATTGACATATAAGTGTTGCTGACAACAGTTTCCATACATGTCAACATAGGCTGACTGGCCAAGAGGACACCCCCTGTTTGATCTGGGAACATCTGGATTGTTTCATACACTGGCTCGGTAGTTGCCATTACACCACATGACAAAGGACTTTGAAGTATTGTTCCAAGAACTTGAGGTTGCGCCTGTGTAATTTGAGGAGGAGGAAGTTGTGCTTGTGCCAGTTGAATGCCTGATATGGTAGGTATTCCAACAGAACTGGGCTCTAAGCAAAGCTGACCATCAGGCATTGCTTGAATTTGGTATGCTCCTGGAACGACACTGCTAGGCACAGCAGTCAAGAACTGAGCCTTTCCAAATCCTTGATTGGTATCAACTGTTGTTAAATATTGTAAATTTTGACCCGTATGTTGCTGGAAAGCTTCTAGGTAAGCTGGTACCATGGCTTGAGAAGGTACCGATTGTACAAGGACAGTTGGTCCTGTCTGTTGAGACTGTTGATAATCCATCATAGTAATAATTTGGGATGGTTGAGGTGCAATCGATGTTGGTAGAGAGCGCTGAACTGTTGGTTGAGAAATTTGCTGATGATTGCTTTCTTTGTATACTTGCTGCTGATGAAATACTGACTGATTCCCTTTAGTCATCACTTTGACAGTTTGCTGTTGAGTAGATGATTTCATCAATTTTGGTTTGCTTGAAGACAATTTTTGTTCTTTGTTGAATGTGCCAGTTACACTCCCTTGAACTCGCCTGTCAACAACATTTGGTACATTTGGTTGGACACATGTCATCACAACGCGTTTTCCTGATTGTGATACAGATGAATTCAGCTCAGGTTTTGTAACAGTTGGAGTAGCAGTTGACATAACAGGAGAAATTGTAGGATACACAGAGGGTAATATTGTGGGAGAGGTAGATGTCGCTACTGACAGCGTAACACTTGAAACTGAAATTGCACTATCAGGACTTTGGGAAGATTCTGACTTGGCTACACCTTCTGCTTCATCCTCTGTTATATCAGCTTCACTTTCACTTGTAGTCAGAGAGTAGTCACCAGAGCAGCTGGGTAGATGCCGAGCATGACTCTCTTCAGTACGGTATGTGCAGCCACACCTGTTGCACCTCACTGGCTTTTCATCGCACTCTTCTTGTAACTGCTTAGTGGAGGACCCCTCTTGCTCACTATCACTAGATATATCATTTGTGCCATCAAGCTGAGGAATTTGAAGAGTACTTGCAGTGCCATTTACATCTTTCCTTTCACCTGTCATTTTCTTGACAGCCTTCCTACGTTTGAAACGGATATCATGATTGACAAATTCACTTCCTTTGCGAATTAACGCGGCCGAGGTTACACTTTTCAAACATTCAATTCTATTTCTAAGAAGTTCAGAGTCCTTGATCAAAGTTGAAGAAAATTTTTCAAATGACTTTACATTTTTCTTTTGAGGAAAGCTTCCAACTGTGTCTGATGCTTCGAGATCAGAACCTTCATCACTTCCACTCAAAACCACATCAGAAATGCCATCAACCTGCATGATTCTGGGCCACGAAAGTGACTGATTTTCTTTTCCTTTGTCTCCTGGACCTGGATGACAAAACCTCACGTCAGTTGGAGCTGGCTTCACAGATAAACGAAGTTCCTGAATCAATTTTGCACGATCCTTTACAGCATCAGTTGAAGATACTTTTTGAGACTTGCAGCAAGTAATATTACTCCCAAGTTTGTAGCTCCATGCTAAACTGCAAGATCGCTGATGAAGACGGCTATCAACATAAGAAGAGTTGCTAGGGAGGACATCAGATTTGCTCCGTTTAAGTTCCCTTGAGGCTTTGAAATTTCTCATCTTCTGCTTGTCAGAGTCACCTTTTTGTCCATTAGAACTGGAATCTTCTTGCGATTCTTCTTTAGACATCTCTTCAAAATTGAGAAATTTATCTTGGAATATGTCTTGCAGAGATATGCCATCCAGAAGGTCATGAGGCAGATCCTCAAAAATTGCATCCTTCAATTCTGGAGGAAGGAGGTCAGCAGAATTTTGTGCATCAGTCACCTCCTCATCTGTTTCTCTACTACAGATGGAGTCTATGAGGTGGTTTACAACAGCTTCTGCTATTTTGGCATCATTTGTCAATGCTTTATTTACATTGATGTCTCCAGCCCTTGTAGAATTGGGAGTGGTTGAAGAATTTTCAGGCTTGATGTCAAGGTCTTCATGATGTTCAGGAATTGAAGTGGAATTCAAACCATCCTTTGAGTGGTCAACAGTGACATGATGACCAAGGTCAACAACAGGCTCAGGTGCTGGAAATCGAATGGTAGTACGTATAGTGTACCGAACAATCCTCCACGGTTCTTTGGATGACCAAAACAACCTTGTACAGCTGAATTGAGATGGGATAATAGATGAACCAAGGTCAGACAATTCTGGGACAATAGTGCCAAGGCTCTGCACAAGTAAGGATCCAATCATGAGTCTCACATGTTTGCTCTCCACACTCTTCTTCTTTCTTCGATCCAACTCAACAAAGACAGGACGACAAACGTCGAAATCAGATAGTTTAGACAGAGGTTTTCCAGGGGCATCTCTTGAATGTAAAGAACAGAATACATTTTTGTCCTCCATAAACGTGAACCCAGCCGATCGCGCACAGGGAAAGTGAAGCGTCTCCTCACATTTCTTCGCACAGCACCCAACACTTGCTCCTTTGCGTCCACAATGAGAACAACGAATCATGCGCCCACGCGATAGAGCATTACTCACATTTTGTAGTGCTCCATCAATTTCCTCAAACACCTCAGCTGACCATAAAGCACAATTAACATGAACCCACTCATTCAAGCCACAATATAACAGTCTTCCCTCAGCACATGCATCACTGTCCCCAGTAAGTTTACAGAAACCACATATCCTGGTGTCACAAGGGCTCATTCCACAATAAAAGTACTCATCATCGAGCTTACTTGTCTCCTTAGGAAGTAGCCTCTCTAGTATTTGTACAGATGAAGCGTGATCTGAATGCGGTTTTACTGGAGAGGCGCAGTTGGACTGGTACTGAAGGCGAGAACCATGATGAGACTTGAGTGGGCTGAGTAGGAAGGAATTCCGAGATACTTTATCATATTTGGGATCAAACCATGGAAACACCTCCAATAAAGTCTGATGATACAGTTCTTTGACTTCATGGGAGTCTGCTTCACATATTAACTGATCCATATCTCTATGAAAATCAAGAATGGAGGAGTATTCACTGCTTTGAACTTTCTTCTTAACTGTTAACAAGGTGGGCAATGATGGCCTTGAAGTGTGAGTGGTACAAGTGCACTCAGCTAAAATCCCCACCACAGCCTTATTTTCATCCACCTCCTCCTCCTCAGTGGCAGAGCAAGTTTTCAGCTCATCATCAGTGCTTCCAACACCAGAGTCACTCTGGGATCCAGCATTCGGTGAAAACTGGTCACTTTTTTCTGGCCTCTCATCATTTCCACAGTCCACGTGCAGTTTGGTGTATTCCTGATGGCACGCACCAATCTTCTGCTTTTCTTTGGCATGGCTATATTTTGTGATTGGTGCATTTTCACCCGCATCAATATCTTCATCAAACTCGAATACAGATGAAACTGGAGTCTCCTTGCCAGGGGATTGTGAAGACTGGGATGCTTCCAGACAGATGTGAGAGGTGCTCTTGACCTCCTTGTTAGCATTGAGGTTGAAGGAGAGTCTACGCTTCCCAAGGGCTAAAGCAGAACTCTTTGTTGATGAAGATAAATTATGCTGACAGGGACATGCCTTTTGAGGACTCCATTTCAACATTGCATATGCTTTCCTGTTTTTAGTGATAGCTTTAATGATGTTGCTGTAACCTGCTTGAAGCTCAGCTTCCACAGCAACCCACCAGGGAGCAGGAGGAACAGAACAGCATAACCTATCAAAATAATAATAATAATAAAAATTTGGGCACTTTAAAAAATAAGGAGGAAACTGGAATTATGTCTGACACTAACCTGCAAATGTACTCCACAGATTCAGGCAAATAACTCAGAACCTGATATTTTTCATCTGAAAGACCTTCACACTTAGCATGAACCCAAGATTTACAATCTGCACACTCCATCATCTAGAAAAAAATAATTAATACTATTATATAAGAAGATTCAACCGTAAACCACTAAACCTCAATTTGTTTGCCTTGCCTTGGATTGAAAATCGTCATCAGTGTAACAGCCCTGGCAGAGAGGACAAAAGTTGCCTTTCTGCCTCAGTTTAAAACACACTTTACAGAATGGAAGGTTTCCAACAAATTTGGACACATCAGTACTATTGCAGCTCTTACATCGTAAGCATGAAGCACATATCTGTCACAGAAGAACAACAATTCTAATGATGCAAAGGGCAACACATACTATGGAATAGATCATAATATGGGAATAAATACATCTGACATAAAATCAGCAAAGAAACTTACCCAAAGACGGTCACCAGCGGTCTTTCGTAAACCAGTTGTGCCAAGGCATTCTGGGTGAAAGGAGTGGTGGCACCTCTGACATGCAGCAAGTTGACGGCCCGAGTTATACCCACAGCCGTGGCACACCGTGCAGCGAGGGCAGACCCAGTCCACACGCCAAACTTCTTTACTGGACTGCTCCACTAAGGGCAGTGGACCAGAACTTCCAAAGGCACCCATCTCAATACAGAACTGATGGTAAGGCTCACAGCAGGAAGCACAATGAATGAGCTGAAACCGCGAATAAAATGAAAAATATCCTATGTAATAACTAATACCAAATAAAAAATTTTTACTTGAAAGTAAAAGTATCTAGCAATTCATTCATTTCACTAACCTTCTTCTTCCCTGCACTGCCACAAAGAAAGCAAACTGGTTTCATGGGAAAAGGGTCAAATCCAATAAGGCCGAAGCCTGCATAGCAAACTTCATCAGGATCATAGCTCTCCCAGAAATCTAGAGATATTAATTCTGGAAGATTTACAGCCTGGTTATTGTAGACTCCAAGATCTTGCAACGTTCTTCTCTGACCTCGCTGTTAAAAAAGAACACACAAAAAGTCAGTTTATTATATACAGATTACATCAGTGCCAACAAATCTGTAAAATAATTGAGTACCTGAATCATTTTGTTCTGGTTTTGAACATTAGGCATCCTAGTAACTTTCCTTCCAGTACTATGGTTTTGAGAAGTGCGATGGTCCAGTGTGCTTTTTGTAACAAATTTAGTATCTGCAGTGGTTGTTGTTACCAAATTTAACTGTGATGCAGATAATTTTGTTTCGCGGTCTTTGATGGTCTCTGTTTCAATTGCAACACCCGGTTTAGATTCTTTTTTGGTTTTGATTTCTCGGTGATTGTCTTGTTTCAATCTGAAAGAACAGATGTGCAAAAAGAGGATAGAAACAGTTGGAACAAAATTGGCTTCAGTCAGAATTAAAAAGAAAAAAAACATACCTAGGAGCTTTCTGAAGAATATCTGTGTCGGCTAATATGGGATCTGAAAACAAATTAAGAAAACCTAGCATTAGTAAACCTACAGTTACAAAAAGTCTGAAGGAGAGATTGAGCTGGTACAAACCTGTCATATCACTCTTTTTGTCAGTATCATTAGAACGTCCAGAAGACTTGGTGGGAGAATTAGTAGGGGAAGAAGTGGAGAAGGTAGCCAGGGGCTGTCCAAGAACAATAGAAGCACTACGACAAACATGTTTAACTCTTGGGCCCTTCAATGTGAGTTTTTGTCTCATTTGGCCATCTTTTAGTTTTACCACACTTTTGTTGTTTCCTTTTCTCAGTGGCTTTTCAGTACCTTTCAAATCAGATTTCTTGGCAGGGTGAAGCTTTTTCATTTTTATCGGTTTCTCAGTGCATATGCTCTTCTTGATAACTCCAGGTGGTGTAATTGGACTGAATGTTTTGTCCCTTACTCTCCGTAAGTTATTTGCAAGAGAAACCAAGGCAGCCTGAAATAAAATAAAATATTTCATAAGGGGAACAGAACTCATAGAAGAACAGAACTCAATGTCATTGTTCTAGTCCATAAATCTTACCTTTCTTTTAATTCTAGCAATTGGAGTCTGAGCCACAAGTTTATTGGAAGATGAAGCTGATAACTTTCTTCCAGAAGTTGGTGTTGACTGAACATTACTTAATTTTGGACTGTGCAGAGGAGTGGTAGAAGAATCTTCAGTGCCGTCCTGCGCCATTGGCACTTTGCGACGGCGACTTTTGTGGCTAGGAACATAGTTCACCACGGCTACAGGCAAGACAACAGTCATGCCCTGCATGTTAGCAGGTAGCATACGTATCAAACTGTCACGGATTTGGTCAGGCATTTTCACAAGGCGTTGGACGCATAAAAGCAGCCAGCAGGCCCCACATCGATTCACTTTAGTAGCAAAACTTTCGCCATTCAAGGGTGATGAGACAGCACAATTCCCTGAGAAAAACATTGTTTCTAAGTACGGATGAAAATGGAAACAGAACATAAGCATGATTAATGAACTGCCCTGCCCTACCTTGCCCATTATCACATGGGACACTGTTCTCTGATGATTTTGACCTCAGCATCATTTTGGCAATAAATTTACGACATGGCTCACAACATATTAACCCAAATTTTAATGACTGTTTGGTCAACCTGTGAAAGCGGACTGCCCCACAAACACCACACTCAACCGAAACTACTGATGACTTCACATTCTTTGAGCCAAGCCCTGTGAAAATGAAGAGAAAAGAATAAAATTATGAGATGGACTAAAAAAGAAATTACAAACAAACAAACACGGGTTCATACCTTTCTTTGGTATGACAGAAATGGGTCCTTCATTGATACTGCCTGAAGATGAAGCTATGTTTAGTTTGGATTCTCTCAGAATGAGTTTGGATCTTGAGGGTGAGACTGCATCAGGAGGTTGAGATGATGAGGAAGTACTTGAGGCAACTGACTTTTCTTTCTTTGGGCTACCATCACTGGGTGGAGAAGTTTGACCTCTAGGCCGATTCGTAGGTGCCCCAAATACATTTAACTCTGCAAATTTAACATGCCTGGTGCTGTCAATGGACTTGGACGGCCCTGCGTCATTAGAAATTCTCTTGTCACTTGAATTGTCTTTGCAGCCATCAGATACTTGAGTGGAGAAGTCTATTTCTCTGTCCAGTATTAACCTGGGCTTCTTCAATTCAATTACTCGAGTGACATGTGATGGATGTCCTGATAGACTAGTGGGAGACGGAGGATCTTCTTGTCCACCTTCAGGTTCAAGGAACCTTTTGTTAGGTTTTATTACCCTGGAAGAGCGAATACTTCTACAAGGAAGAACAAACTTCTTGTTCAAGTTGGCAACATTTGAGGGCCCGTTTTTCTCTAATAATGAATTGGGGGATATTCTAGAATACACATCCAGGTTGCCCTTCTTGGCTTTGTGAAGAAGGCGACTGGCAACATGTTTCTTGAAACTGGGCTTCGCAGGGCTGAAGAACTTGGAGGGTGACACTGTTTTTGACAATTCATTTCCTTTGCTCTCTGAATGAAGGCTTTGACACTGGGCACGGGTCATATGACATCCAACAGCACCAATCACGGCTAGATTGGCCGCAACATATGACAAATCTTGAGATGTAGGAGGGTCTAGTTTCACAGGAATGGCATCATCAGAGGAAAAGTTTGAACCACTTGTTCGGTATTCTTCCAAAACCTTTTCCTGTTGATCATTGGCAATTTCTCTCGCATTGTCCACCTCATGTGGGCTAAATCCATGAAAAGCTGTGGACACCTGTAACAATAAATGAAAACATTCTATGAATTTCAATATTCATGGTCTTGAAGCAACTCATTCATTTCAATGAGAAAAAAAATGAATAAAAGAGAATCTAGACAAATTAACAGTGACATAGCTATATAAACCAACAAAAGATAGATTTCAAGAGGGGAGGTATGGTTTACTTCAAGTGACACTGGTCATTTTAGACTAATCAGAGAGTCAAGACAAGGGGCAGCTGACTACCCAACCTTATCAAATCAATGACACATTAACACATACAACATCAGGCAAAGAGTCATGGGAATTGAAATAAGTACATTTACGTCGCAAAACAAAATAAAGTAATTGGAACAGCTGACAAACGCTTTTTTTGAGAAAAAGGCTGAAAAAATTCCAGTCACAAAAGGCTCAAACAGCATGGCGGATGTGAAGCTAACCTCACTAAAGAGCGCGCGCGTTTGGAAAGGACGAATAAGGGATTCGAACCAAGGACCTTGTCAACCAATTAAACTACAAATAAAGACATCTTCGAATTCATATCTGATGCCAATTAATAGCACCAGGGAAAGAATGAGGCAGTGACGCATTTAACCGGACAAGAACAATAAAGGCGACAAATAGGCATCTCTTTAACAATGCCATAACAGGCTGCTTGTTTTCATTGTGTCCCTTTAACCTGGCGGTCATCCATTGACACAATACTAAAGCGATGTCGACATAAAAATAAGCCTTTCCGGCACAACTTCAGAAACTCAAACGCAAATTGGACGTACCTGTTCGTGGTCCCCAAATGTCTCATTGAAAACTGCGAGGCCATATGAAATGTTCTGAGCAGCTTTGCTTGATTCATTATCGTGAAGTGCACTGTACTTGCTTGACTTTACCACTTTGCGATTAACAATCTTTGACGGTTTACCAGGAAATTTTGATCGCACCATTCTATTAAAGCTGTCGCTTTACGCGTACACAACCGTGTTTTCATTTAGTACTACACTCTTGTTGTACAGGTCGCGTTTCGTAACACAAACAAACGCAGGTCGGGTCCGAACGCGTCTCGTCTGCCCCGTCGCGAATCGCGGCCGCGAACCACCAATCAATGACTGCGATTTCGCGACCAAGTGGCATTAGCGCGGAACGATTCCCGGACACTTTACGGACACGCGACTGTCATTGAGGGGGCACAACAGACGGGGAAAGGAAACCCATTTCCATTCAATGAGTTTGGCTCGTCAAAGTCCCTCCAACGGAACGCGCCATCTGTCAGTGAAACGGGGTTAGAAGCGCGGGAACTTTTTTAGGTTGGTAGGAGTTACGCGCGATGTTTCCTTGGTGCCTATTCTTTCGACAACACAACCTAAAGGCTTCGCTCACAAGCAAAAATGTTAAAATGCTGCCATTGATCCACAAAAAATCATACATTTCACGACGTTCATGGGTTTTAAGCAGACGCATCACAGACTAAAGCAGCTCAAGTTTGAATTTGCCGCTAAAATTTCATTGTTGCCACTGTCGGAAGTGGTTTTTGCGTTGCGCGAAGGTTTTGAAGGTTTTGATAAAGTCGTCCGTTCAATCATTGAAATCGTAGTGAGATTTTATTTAATAATATGCGTCTACTGTAAAAAGGAACTTTTTTGGGAAGCATATTTGTTTTTTTCATTCCCAGGCAGAGACAGTTTCCTCGCGTGTTTAGAAGGCTGGGGATTTATTTCGAGGTGGCGCAGCCGGCTTCGACGGCGTACAGCGTCTTTCCGGTTCCTGAGTAGACAGAGTCCCGCACCATGAAGGCTAAGGGGCTGGTGAGATTTATTTATTTTCATGAAGATTTCACCTCTTTATTAATTTCATTCAGTCATGTTAATTTGTGGATAGGATAGTCTTGAGTATTTTGTCTGCTCTTTTGGTAGGCCCTTAAATTTCAGTTATTGCACAGCAATAACAAGTGCCGCGTGGGGCCTGACGTAGTTCTCGACCAACATGGCCCGCCATGTGGCTGTCTCACATTAGTGATTGCTGATCGTAAACATGCACTAATCATCTTATCGCCCTCAAAAGAATGTACAATTTACTATGTTGCCCACGCCGGCTCACCTTGCGCGTTATGTTGCATCGTTTCGAACAGTGCCATTGTAACGTGGAAGTGGGGTTAGGTTTGTCAGGGTAGTCCCGTGAAACAAGGCTTCTCCTCGGTTTCGTTTTATTTGCTCAGTCCTGAAGCTGAACCGCTTACTTTCCCGCTGTGACGTGGGAAGAGCGCCTATTACTACCGTTCATTGTTTGTCCGCAATTTTGTACCTTGAGTTCAATCTTGTTTTCGTTCTGTTTCAGTTGAAGGAATACACGGTTGTGGGTCGCAAGATCCCAACCAACAATGAAGAAACCCCCCTTTACCGCATGCGAATTTTCGCTCCCGATGCTATCGTTGCGAAAAGTCGTTTCTGGTATTTCCTGCGCCAGTTGAGGAAATTCAAGAAGACTACTGGTGAAATTGTCTCTTTGAAACTGGTAAGCTTTGTTTTTTTTTTTTTCTCTCGTTTCCATTTCATTGTGTTATTTGTGTGCACAGATTTTGCTCAATCTATAGTTTGTAAACTGTTCCTCTGTTGTATTAGTTGTCTTTTGATAGTCACATTACTTATCCACAATCTTTGATTTGTAACACCATGTTCTTTACTGTTCCTGCATTGCGTATCAGTCTCACACATTCCTTATTCCTATCTGTTCGTAGGTTCCTGAGAAGAGCCCAACCAAGATCAAGAACTTTGGTGTCTGGCTGAGATACAACTCCCGTTCTGGTACCCACAACATGTACAGGGAGTACAGGAGCCTTAGTGTTGCTGAGGCCATCACCGCCTGCTACCGTGACATGGGAGCCAGGCACAGGGCTCGTGCTCATGCTATTCAGGTATGTTCACTCCTGCTTTTTACTGACTTACTTATTTGCCTGTCAGTATCATTTTCTGTTTATTAATGGACTGTGATTGTTTATTGCAGGTGATCAAGTGTGAGGTTGTGAAGGCAATCAACACCAGGCGACCTCTGGTTAAACAGTTCCACGATAGCAAGATCAGGTTCCCTCTGCCCAAGCGCATCCAGGGTCGCAGCAAGCTCGCCACATTCTCCTACAAGCCCCCCCGAACCTACTTTATGTAATTTCCTTTTAGGAAGGAATAAACTAAATTTCTTTCTACATATTCTCTCATTACCCCTTTCTCTTGATGTAAAAATGGGTTGTTTAGTTTTTGTTTTTTTTCTTTTGATTTTTCTGTGAAACTGGATGGCGAGCATATAACGTAACCAGCCATTATATTGTTGATGTGAGAGGAGGATAGGTGAATAAGTGGAACAAGTTTCTACTCAGTTGTATTTGAAATTTTATTTGCACTCTGATGTGTTATTCTAATAGACCAGGAGAAAAAGATCATCTCAAATTCAACGACAGTAACAAAATGGGCGATTGGCTTAAAGGAGAAGAAAATTGACATCAAATGGATCTATTAAGTTATCAACAGGGAACTAAACATCATTGAAGATTTACTACTTCATAAGCAGTCCTATCCACAGGTGCATATGCACGTGCAAACTCCTACATGCAAATATCACAGACACTTCATATAAGTTAATATTTTTTGATCCAACCAAAGCAAACAATTTTTTTTATAACAGGAAAACAAACCATAAATTACAAAGCATTTTTTTTATACCAAAAAAAAAAAAAGACATTAACAAGGAGGGATTAGGAACTTACACATTTCAATTGCTCCTGACATAACAATTTAATTTGACAAAATATTGATGCCGAATGCAAAAGACACCAATGTGCACCTCTAAATAACATTCACATACTGGAACCAAATGGGAAAAATAAAGTGAACCATCACAATTAAAGATAATAAGACAGACTGCTAGAGAGAGAATTATTGCACACTGAAGAAATCAATAGTTCACAAGACCTAAAACAAGGAACTTCCAGTCAAACAAAAGAAATTAAGGACTAACTATTCTATAACATAAAATTAGGAATTCAGTTCTGTGGAAATATAGACACATGATATGGCTGTGAATTAATGCTGAATGCAACACAGACAAGCAGTACTAGAATTGAAGTTTTTCATCGAAGGTCATTGGACATGACAAGCAAAATCACCTAAGCATGTACAATTCTAATTTATGCTTAAAAATCACAAGGAATGCTCCCATAGCAAGCCCCACAGAGGTGTTAATATTGTACATCATAACTTTAAAAAATTACCTGAATCTTTAGCAGTCAAACAAAAAGCAGCCACTTGAGGCCATAGATTGATAAGAAACCAACTCAACACTACTAGGTCAGTAATGTATGACTGCAATACCAGTAACATTCCCATAAAATTTCCTAAAAGGGCAGCTAGTCTCACGACATGTGGAAGTCGTTCTTCCTATTGTACCTCACCTAATACATTTAACAAAACAAATAAAGCAAGTAAGAGACAAGAATTCTTTTGAAAACCAGAGTTTTCAAATTATCTATTCATAATTTCAAAAACACATTACGTCAAACACTCATTTCAAACAGGTACAAATCCTGGAATGAAGACACTACATAAAGAGAAGTACGAGATTTCACATATGTATTGTTTACATAACACCTCAATGAAGAATATAGTCCAAAATGATCTATACTAAGATAAAATACCATTGATCCAGCAAGTTACAAAAGAGGAAGAAACAGAGTGGGCAACACACTATCATACAGACTTTTAAGGTGACAGACAAAACATTGAGTTACAAGAATTTGACAAAGTAGGAACACGAGATTTGAGGGGAAAAGGAGGAAGAGTTAATGCCTTCTGAACAGTGATTTCATCAAAACTGAGTAACAGTGGAGGTATACTTCAGATCATATTATATATAACCAAAGGACATGTCTCAAAAGACACTGATGCGTCATCTTATCACTCAGAATAATAAAAAATATTTCTGACAAGAATAACCTTAGCAATATAGGCTTGCAAAAGGCATCTGACTTGATTGTGCTTATAAGGTAACTATTACAATAAAACAGTTAACAGTTAACATTCAGTTCATTGTTCAATAATCACTAATATATTAACACTCTACACACAATATATACATAGAAAGTAAATAAAATGCATTTTTCCCACATCTTAAATTGCTAACTACACAAATGGTCATTTCTCACAATCAACTCTTCCTTAAACAAACTAACACAGTCTTTCATTGTGATGGAAGCCAACACAGTTGCTAGCTAATATTGTAGCTTTGAGACATTTACAAGGCAAGATGAACATATTCCATACATGTTTAAATTGAAATGTAAAGAGTAAAGCAGGGTACAAATGTAAATTGAAGCCTTTCCACTTATTTCCATAAAGCAACAATCAGAAGGAAGCCAATCAATGAACGCACAAGAAATGGACCCATATCCCCTTTTTATCAATTAACAATCAACCTCAACATCACTTGTTTCTAAGTCTGAGGAATCTTCCATAACAGCTGCTGACTCATCATCAACTAATATTGCCGAAGGTAAGGAGGTTGAGACAGTTGTCACTGGATGGAGTTGTGTAGTATAAACACCAAGAACCTGAACAAACAAATACATTGACTCCAGGCAACAACTATACAATATTAAATAAAAGATTTGTTTTTATTTATATTATTACTAGGAAAAATATCTTACCTGAACTGTGGCCCCAGCATTACTAGCAGCAAGTTCACTTGGCGATGCTAGTGACAAAACTTGAGTGTTTGAGTCAAGAGTCTGAACATCCCCATCTGGACCAAGATGTAGTTGGTAGGTCTCAAGCTCAGGTATATGAGGTCGAACCTACAACAATTAAAAAGTAAGTATCCCATCAGAGTTGAACATTTACTGAACAGTAAAGGTCTTAGCCCTACTCCAAAAGCCAGCTCTAAAAAAAATAAAAATGGTTTACTGAAAATAAATGAATAAATTTCATTTTTTCAGACATACTTTGTGGCCCCCTGGTCGATGAGGATTGCGACAACCTTTACAACGGCAATCTAAGCAGGCTTTGCTGTCAACATAACAAGGGCACCGTTGTCCACAACATGTGAGCTTTCCTGGGGTAGCAGTTGCATTACCACAACGGCAACCCTTGCGCTTCAAATTTAAAGAACTGACATTTGCAATAGCTACTCCTCCTGAAAGAAACAAAAAGAATAGTTTATGTAGTAAATTCCACACTATATCAAAAAGCACAGTTTATACATCAACCTTACCCAGATCTTTAGAAGCAGCAAGGGCAGACTTTATTGTTGTGTGGTTAACGGTTCTAATGCTTTTCAGCCCTTTGGCTGGCTTCTTGAACCCTGACAGAGACAAGGATTTTCTTGGCTAAAGAAATGTAGAAAAACAATATTAGTGATCGTTTTGACAAATATTCTAACTAACAAGTGGCATAAGCGATGAAGCACAACTAACTTTAGGCTGAACAGGATCATGTTTGACAGAAGAGTCCAAATTTAAGGCATTGTTATCTGCTGAAACAGTTTTCCTCTTGAAAGTCATTTTGCTCCCAATATTAAATACGGAATAAAGTGAAGATCCATTCGACACTGCTGGGGGTTCCGGAGTTGGTTGTTCATTTTCTTGTGAACTTTCTATGGCAGGTGAGTCTGGTGACGTATTGGGAGGCGATGCAGAAGGAGCTGTGGGTGGCGCATTTGAGTAAACGCAAGGTAAAATACTGTACGCAGAACGTGACAGTCCTGGCGAACTCTTGTAGTCGTCTTTAAACTCCGCCCCTTCATTGATAAGTTCAACCAGGCTAGAGCCTCCAGCCACGAGGCTGCGGTAGAGCGCAGTGCTGGTGATGTAAGTGCACAACTTCTTGTAGCACTGCAGCAGAATGCGCAGCAGGACGTTCTCGATGTAGGCGTCGTAATCCTTGCACCACGAACAAGACGGCTTGAGCTTCTTGCGGCCGCCTCGGCACGCCCTGCAGACATGGTGTTGGCAGCTCCCGGCCGTCCCGGCCTCCGACAACGAGTCCGACGGGGTGTACGGCTCCACCAGCAGGTTAGCACACACGGTGCACGACAAGGACTGCCGCAAGTAAGGCACCAGGCGGTGCAGGTCCGCCCAGGACGACGTCGACAAGTCCGTCGAGTCCGAGTCGTCCTCGTTTTGAGCTTGCAGCACCACGCGGCTCGTCGACACGAACAAGCTGGTGGGATTCATGGTGTCTGACTTGGCTGTCACTGTTTACATGTAAACAAAATAAAGCAACCCCATCACGGCGTCATCAGCGAGCTGCGTGAGGCGGCGCGGCGCCGGAAAGTTTGCAAACAAAACGCGGCCTTGTGGAGAGGGGCGGCGCCGACCGCACTTGCACCCCGCCTCAGACGAAGAGAGTTGCCATTCAATTTAATTGATTATCGGCGCGCCATGACGACGGCCGATTCCCATTGCTCGGAATTACGTTACAATTTGGACCAACTTTTAGGCGTTCTTTCATAACCTCACTTTTTACACCAGGTTCGCCAACTGTCCCGCACTTAAATCGGAAGAGAGACAATTTTGATTTTTAAAAAACTCTGAAGTTTCAAATGTATTTTTTCTTTTTAAATTTAATTTTACAAGAAATTTCGCTTTGAACTAGGGTGAGTGCTTTTTAATACTGCAGTGTAAAGCACGGTATTTTTTTATTTCAGGGTGGTAATACAAACTTCGATCAGAAGGATGGGGGGGGGGGGAGGACGGAGGAGAAGAGTGGAGAGAGGAGAGAGGGGAAAGGAGATGCCCTGCTCGCCGGTCATCCGAACTTTGTGAAATTTGTTGTTATTTCCAAGAGTAGCTCGAGCTGCCATTATGTTAATTAAATTGAGACATCTTTTTTAGTCAAGATTTTTATGACTGGTGGAATAACTAATACAACAACAAAGTGGTGTCCACTTTTCTGTTTTGTTGAGTGAAACTTTGACAGGAGCAACAATGAAACTTGTAAGTGATCTCTCACCTTCCTTAATTATCAAGGTTGCTTATTGCTTGATCTGTTAAATTATCACGCTATTATGACATGTTTCAATGATGCAATTCCTAACCCGGTTGACTAATGCATTTTAGTCGCTTTTAGCCTACTGAAAGTGTTTTCCTTTTCAAATATATCTAAGGCTGTCTTTTTCTTTCCAGTACTGTCTTAGCAGCCATCCCAGCAAACCATGCCATGTGCTCCGATTCAAGGGGATCACCATCATGCTAGATTGTGGCCTCTCAGCACAAACAGTTTTGAGTTTCTTACCTTTACCGCTAGTACCATCTGCTCGGTTAAGTGGCTTACCCAACTGGATGCCTCGAGACTGCAACAATTCCCAACTAGAGGGTGAACTCAAAGACTGCTGTGGTCGTGTTTTCATCGACTCTGCTCCAGAATTCTGTGTTCCTCAAGAAAAAATAGTTGACTTTTCAGAGATTGACGTAATTCTTATATCTAATTACCTCTGTATGATGGCGTTACCTTTTATAACAGAGGGAACTGGATTTGAAGGTGTTGTGTATGCAACAGAACCAACTCTTCACATTGGACGGTAAGCTGATGATAATGTTACTCTGATTCCATATTACAAACTCATATACACTTTTATATTTTCTAGATTTTTTTTGGAGGAACTGGTTCAGTACATTGAGCAAACACCCAAGGCCTCATTAGCATCGCACTGGAAAGACATTTTGCATTTTTTGCCTCCACCATTGTGTGATTCATTAAAGCCTCGATCATGGCGCCACCTTTATTCACTTTCTTCTGTAAATAGCAGTCTCTCTCGAATCCAAATGGTTGGATATGATGAAAAGCTTGTGAGTATTCTGTCAAGTATCACATTAGTCATTATAATGTGTAGTACAATAAACATACCATTCAATTACTTTGTGTTACTGAATTTTCTGTGTCTGATTCTAGGATGTATATGGTGCTTTGAAAGTAACACCAATTAGTTCTGGTTTCTGCTTGGGAAGCAGTAACTGGATTATAAGCTCAGATCATGAAAAAGTAGCATACATAAGTGGTTCTTCTACACTAACAACCCATCCAAGGTAGATTACTTTCTAGTGTAACTTGGCAAATTATTAAGGAGATAAAATGTTTCATGTTTGATTTTTTTTTTTCACGACCCAGACCAATGGATCAGTCAGCTTTAAAAAATGCAGATGTCTTAATTATGACTGGTTTAACTCAGACCCCTTTGTGTAATCCAGATTCCATGCTAGGGGAATTGTGCATCACTGTTTGTAAGTATATGGTTGAGTAAGTTTCCTTTATTTTCCTTTCAGAATTCTATAAAACTTATCATAATATCTCATCCTATTAAAAATCATCCAGCTACAACACTTCGAGCTGGGGGCTGTGTACTGATGCCTTGCTATCCCTCTGGTGTGATTTATGACCTCTTTGAGTGTCTCTCACAGCACCTTGAAAATTTAGGATTGACTCAAGTTCCAATGTATTTTATTTCGCCTGTTGCTGACACCTCCCTAGGTTATTCCAACATTTTAGCCGAGTGGTGAGTACAAGTTGTACTTATCTTATGTAAATACTATTTGTATTTTTTTTTTTTGCAAAGAAGCACCTGACTTGAATTTTTGTTTCACTGTCAAGGCTGTCCCAAGGTAAACAAAGCAAAGTGTACTTGCCAGAGGAGCCTTTCCCTCATGCTTTCTTAATAAAGAATGGGCGCCTAAAACACTATAAAAACATCTATGCTGAAGGCTTCAGCACTGAATATAGACAGGTAAGTAGTGCTGCAGATCACTCCCTTTCAAATTTATTTTTTGTGTTACAGTTTGGGTATATTTTAATATTCTGTAATGTCTGTTATTATGTTCATAGCCTTGTGTAGTGTTTTGTGGCCATCCAAGCCTAAGATTTGGTGATTCTGTTCATTTTATGGAATTATGGGGATCCAATCCACAACATGCTGTTGTATTCACAGGCAAGTTTTTTGTGTCTTGTTTTTGGCTGAAGTACTGTACCTGACAGATGCATATTTTAATTTTTCCTCTCTTTGACTACAGAACCAGATTTTCCGTACCTTGAAGCTTTGGCCCCCTTCCAACCCCTTGCAATGAAAGCAATGCACTGTCCAATCGACACCTCCTTAAATTTTACTCAAGGTAACAAGCTTGTGAGAGATTTGAAGCCCACAACTTTAGTTATTCCTGAGTCGTACTTGAAGCCTCCTGTTGAAGCACCCAATCGGACCGATTTGACTATAGAGCAGGTAACTCTTGTACAATAGCATAGCTTCAACCACATTTTGATTAAAATTGACTTACATCTGTTCACCTCTCATCAGACTGACAGGAACATTATCTCATTCAAAGGAGGAGATGTATTAACTCTTCCATTGAAAAGAAAGCGTGCTAAAGTAAATTTAAGTCCTGATGTTTGCAATAAGCTAGTTGTCAGTGAAGTGCGTTTGGGAGTAAATCTTGCAACGCTCACAGGACAGCTTCATGTTAAGGATAATCATCATTCTATTCAAGTTTGTATTGGAAATCTTATCATGCTGCATTGTAGTGCTGACTTTGGGACTATCACTTTCTATTATTTTTTGGCAGGTTTTGGATCAAACAGTAACAGGCAGTAACAGTGCTACCAGGAAGCTTCCTCGTAGGCCCGAGGAAACACTCTCACAAATGCGATATGAATGGGGTTCTCTTGACCTTGATACATTTATTCAAAGACTGCGCGAAGATGAGGGTATCTCTGATGCCAAAGTTGAACAGAGTTCAAGTGGATACATCATCCATTTGGTAAGTAACTTTTCATTGGTGACTTGCACTCAAATTGTAGTAGTGACTCTAAACTGATTGTATGGCTGTTTATTCTAGCCTAAAGAAGATGCACTCATTCAGGTAGAAGATAAGTCCACTCACATGTATTGTGATCCCCAGCTTAGGCATCGTTTGCGCAAAGTGTTGCTTCAATGTTTAAATAAGATATAAAATAGTTGGGCAAATAATTCTTTATAAAAAAATCAATTTTATTAAATAAACTTTATTAATTTCTTCTTATAAAAACAACTTAAAAGAATTAATTGTACCTTATTTCACTGAATAGTATGGTTTACAAAGAATGAATATGTAGAGGCTGTAAGCTAGGTGGATGTGAGCCAGACATTGCAAAAGCCAGAAAACTCCATCACAATGGTACATACGTAAAATATGACACCTAATTAGCTTCAAATACTGTTTGCAAAGAGATGTTCAATCATGTGAGGCTCAATAAAGCACACAGCAAGACATTGGTAATCACATAATGCCCCTTCCAAATGAATCTATTGTCTCTTAAAACAGCAACACTTGTATGAAAAGAAAGTAAAAATCTAGTACCCTCATTTTTCCTGGAAATGATAGATTCAGATACTAAACAAACTGAAGTTGAACACTCAAACCGACTGAATTTCTGTTGCTATGGACATCACATACAAGAATTCAGTCAAGTGCCTAGCTCAGATACTAAACAAACTGAAGTTGAACACTCAAACCGACTGAATTTTTGTTGCTATGGACATCACATACAAGAATTCAGTCAAGTGCCTAGCTTCCAAAACCAATCATTAATATCATGAGTTTCTTTCCTGACAGTACAGTTATGTAGAACTTTAACCTTTCCCAACAATCAAAACGGAAAATCAGCAAAGTCTTTTTCCCCCCTTCACAAATGATATTGAGCCGAAAGAACGGAATGGTTGTTTTTTTTCAAGCAGATAGCAATTCAGGAGGCATGTCATTTTTGGGATGTTTGTTTTCAAAATGTTGCTTGTAAGTCTTTGGATCGGGCATCTGGGCCTGGAAACAAACACATTGAAAAGAAAATATTCATATTATTCATACAGGAATATCCAATAGGAATATGAAAAAGACAGTGAGTGGATAATATTTGTATACATATGTATTGCTTAACTATTTCTGTACCAAGAACTGAAGGAACTTACTTTGCACACAGCGCAGGAAAATACAAGAGCTTGCTGAGCAGCTTTCTTCTGGGAGTTGGCGTTGTGTCCTTGTTGCTTCTTGGCCTTTGCTGCCTTCTCGGCAGCCTTGGCCTGCGATTGCAACTTCTGCTGACCACGCGCCATGGCACCTGCAAAAAACGTACCAGCAACTGACATTAACTTAGGGATAACATTATCAGAACATGTCGCGTGTGAGGCTTTCATTCAGTAAGTGACAAATAAGTTTGACAAATTATCAAAAAATTGAGATGTCCCACAAACAGTTGAAACACACACACATTGCAGTGTAATGCACGAAAAAAATAGGTGACAACATGGAATTAGGAAAATTAAGGGAGAAGGAAGAAGATGGCTTTGGGGCAATGAATGACATACATTTCAAGTCGGTCAGCTGTGTTCTGTGCCAACTACCAGGCTAGTCCCACTCTGAATAATGGCTCCTTGGATGTAAACCAGGGAGGAAAACGGGCAACCAACATCAGAAGACTTTGGCATCGGCGGCCTAGAGCCTCGGAGCCATAGAGCCATTGTCCTGCGTTAAAACGAGAACCCCGCACGGCATGTTCGCGACCAGATCGGTGCCTGTTGGGGCCAAGGCACCCACACTACCGCACGCTTCCCCAGACAATCCTGAAGACGCCCGTGGACACGTAATGGATAGCCGAGCGAGAACAAATTCAGGAGCAAATAATGACACAAAAATTAGACATAACAACCTTTGGAGGACTCGTTCGAGTGACGTCAAGCTGAATCTACTCGCCTGCTATTGCAGCTGCACCACTCGCTTTCGCTTGTTCACTGGCGTCTGTTTTTTCTTGCGACGGACAAAAGACAAGCCGGAAGTTCAAGATTTGGGATGAGAAATATACCAGTGCCTAACTACAGAAAAGTAAAACAATCTTCGTGTTTCTATCAAATTTGAATGCATTAGTTAGGGAAACAAATTATTTCCCGATCAAATGTCTAATTCTGTTCAGACTGGAGAATAGTGTAGGTGATTTGATCGAAAAATTTGGACACTCAATGCTCAGTACAGGTGCCCAGCCTGTATTCACAGCAGACGCTGCGGCAGACGATGCAAAACACCAAAGCAGAAATTAGAATTCTTCAATGTTTGGGGAAAGAATTAGAATTTTTAACATTTGTCTAGTTGTTAGTTTGATACATTTTTCTATTCATCTTTAGTTAGTTTATGTTATGACCAAAAATTGATCATGGGTTCAGAAAAAATAAACCCGAGATGTCAAGACACAGCAAATGACAACAAAGATGGTTTGTGTTGTTGATATTTAAAAATGCCTTACATTTTCTGGCCTTAAAGCCATATCGATGTCTCTATCTGAATTTTTTTGACCTTTTAATTTTTTTTGTCCTGCTGGATCTTTGTGTTCTGAACAAGATATACTAGCGTTTCCAAATTGAAGAGACGTTACGGCAAGTTCCTCATTTAGTGCCGCCAGAAATTAATGAGCTGCTCCTATGTTTCAGAAAAAAAATCCAAACCAAAAAAATTTAAGTCAAAAAATCCAGGCCTAGGAGTGTACTGGATTTTGGTTTGTCTTAGAATTGTATTGACTTTAATTCCTCAAACAGGGTACATACACCCAGATGAATACTTTCAAACCGTAGAAATTGTCGCTGGTATGGAAATAGAAAAATAAATTTTATTGTAGTTTTGTTTATTTTATTTTACTGGTACGAAATGTACTTTCTTCTTCTTATTCTACAGGAGATGTCTTTGACCTAGAGGTCGAAAGACCATGGGAGTTCAATGTAACTTTCCCAATAAGGAGTATTCTCATTCCAAAAATTATTTATGGTATACCCTATATTGTGTTGGGATCGTTCACACCAGATCTCAGCTATATTTTAGGCTGGGATGTCCGCACTCCATACATTATGCTTATTCTTCCTCGTCTGGTAGCTTGTGCACTATCCTTTGTAACTGATTATTGTTTGTACAAAATATGCATTTTGTATGGTCAAAAGTTCAGGTCTGTTAATTTAGCTCTATACTTATTATGTTTGTCTCTTACTTTTGTCATGCCTATTTTGATAGATCTTTTGCCACCAGATCTCGCCTTCTTATTCTTGCAACTTCATATGTCCCAGTAATTCATGGAACAAGGACACTAACAAATAGTTTAGAAATGGCTTTGATGTCAGTCTTACTCTTTTTGGTAGCCGACTGCATGATAATGTCTGATAAGGTATGTACTTGGTGAATGTCAAAGAACTTCCAAATAAGTCATGGACAAAAAGTGATATAGAATTCTGACATTTATTTATAGGTGATTGATCAAGAAGGATTTCTGGATCGAAAGTATTCTTCATCTTCTAAACCAGTGGAACGAACCAAATTGTACAAAATGCGAGCTGCCCTACCTTCACATTCTCTTCGTAGATGCTATCCAATCGCCTCCATTGTGGTAGCTGGTGTTTTCAACAGACCAACATTTCTTGCATTTAGTCTTGCTCCAGTTTTCTTTTGGTTGCAGCGAGGCATTAGCTCAAAGTATTGCGGAATTCGTGCCTTTCATTTAAGAATTCTTTTGTTCACATTATCTGCTGTCCCGACGTTATTAATTTTCATATTAGCTGATTCCTTTTACTATGGTCATTTGACATGGAATGAAATAGGAATGGGTGATGTGAGCTTGGCAAATTTTGTTGTCACACCATTTAATTTCCTTTTGTATAATAGCAGGGAAAGTAATCTGGCCCATCATGGGCTTCATCCAAGAGTCACTCACATGTTTGTGAATATTCCACTGCTTTACAATGTTTTGGGGTTCACAGGAATTATTGCAGTATCAAACTTTTTAATTAGGTAAGTTCAACATTTTCCACTATCTTATCTTTTGATCTAATCAAGTATGTTTCATGCATACTTTTCAATTATTTTTGCAGAGCCTCTCAAGCCCGATGGAGGGAGCTACCTCGAGCTCAAAGTCTTATGATGCTCATGACAGCATCATTCCTCATCCCCGTCATGCTTCTTTCATTAGTGCCTCATCAAGAAGCTCGTTTCCTTATTCCCATCACACTACCCCTTGTGTTTTTGCATGCTCAAGAAATTCAGGATTTAGATACAAAACCAGCTCTCACATACAGGACACATGAGAGTATTCAAGATAAGAAAAAGTCTGCCCTGAACTCTCAACCTTCAACTAAGACTGTACCCAAGGGCAGCAGATCTCTTATGAATCTGTGGATTATGATCAATTGTCTTCTAGCCATTTTCTTTGGATTCGTGCATCAGGGCGGAGTGTATCCCTTAACAGCTCATCTTAAGGAAATCATGCGGAAGCAGACTAAAACACAAGTCATACATTTAGTCACAGCATTTATGTATCCCATCCCACAATCTTTGCTAGTGCAACGTAACTCTCGTCAAAAGTATTTTGACCCAGTTACCAAAACCAAGTATTTGATAGCTCGAAAATTTTATGCTTATGAGTTAGGCTCAGAATCATTTCCTGATGTTGTTCATGTTATTAAAAAGATTGTTCATGAAGCAGAGGCGACCAAAAACAAGGAGCACCTCAACTACTCAGTTTATTTGGCACTTCCGTCCAGCCTGGTTGATGATCAGTCTAATTTTCAGGCATCAGATTTAACTTTTACGAGAGACTCTGTATTTTATCCACATATGTCAACTGAAGCATTACCTCAGTTCACTCAAATGTCAAACATACTATCTACTTCAAATGTTTACCACCTTTATAATGAAACAGATCAACCTGATATTGATACGAAGTCAGGTGGACCAGCATACTTCCAAAATGTCAAGCTCAAGCAAACTTCTGAAGATTCATTAACAGGTCAATTATTGTACTTTTTAAAGCAGTTCAGTCTTTCATTGTATCTTGTTAAGATTTAGGTATTGGTAATGTATTTGTACTTAATTTCCAAATAAAATACCACTAGCAAATCATGCTTACAGGATTCAATGATCCTGGGTACGCCCCTGCATCCGGATCCATAGTGTTGACAAGAAGTAGGATTAAAGCAAAGTATTCAGACAATTGCACTTTTATTAGTGGGCCGTAGCTTCACAATTATCACGACATTGATGTTTTAAGTATCTTTATATACATTAAAATAAATATTTCACAATATTCTGCCAACTTTTCTGATATTGATACACCACTCTTAACTGTCAGACATACATAAATATATAGAACATTCCAAGAGCAGCGCAGGAATAAAACTAAATCCTTACAGAAAAATTTTAAGTGGAAGAGCATTGTGTCAAGTGGCCTCACTAAGAGTGCAAACAGGGAATGCTGTTATAAAGTACGGTATAGTGTAAAAATCTTGTATCAAAATACAGACAATTAGAATTTTATACCCAAAATAATATTTGGTAAGCAATCAGTCTTTCAGCAAAGCCCAGGTTACTTTCATGGTACAAAAGTGCTGGAGCACAATAACTGGTGACAGACTTCTCAATTAAAACAAGAATTAGCGAGGTCTCTTGAGTAAAGCCAATGCTTTAATAAGGTAACTTGACAATTTTATCACCAATATAAAGTAAACTCCATAGGACTCCATGAGATAAATGCATTGAACACCTTGATTTGTGCATGTATGCTCCCGAGAAGTCATCAATTGATTAACAACAAAACTCTTAAGATCATAATAAAACTATCTGAAAACATACCCATCATACAATATAAATTTAAACAATAACTAAAATAACACTGGTACATGATTCTTAAAATGTACAACATAACAGAATTCATCTAGGGAAGTGTTAAATAAATGCAAGTCATATTTATCACTTCAATAATGCACAAGGTTTAAGAATTTAAAACATAACAATAAAATAGTACTTCAGACTTAAAAGAAGCACCTTGTAAAATAATTCTGACAATTACAAATCATTTACAGTCAGTTTCATGTAGCAAATATAATCATGTCTGTGTTGAGGGTGAAAAGCTAACATAGTAACAGGATACCTTGAAACTAGATTCAAAACTCATGTGCAGGAGGATTTGTTCGCTATGGTAGAGTTGATAGTTGGACAACACTAGTCACACTGCCAGCAGTTCTACTGTTTGTCCTCATGAATGATCCCAATACATTGGTTCTCTAAAATTTCGATGAACAGAAGAAGCATATTGATGAAACACTTAACAAATTCAACTTTTGTAATTAACTGTCATAAAAATCCAAAAGGATGATAATTACCATTGAAGTGGATGTCTCAATCACCACCATTGAACGAGCACATGTCTCTCTTCTGTGGGGGCACAAGATGTTCTGGCAACTCTGTTGGAATGTCATGCCCGTCTAGCTTCACATGAATTAAGTGCATAGCAAGAGCAAACTCATCAGCATCAAGGAATCCATCTTTGTCCAAGTCTGAAAGCTTCCAAATCTTTCCAAGGACAGCATTTGGTAACTTGGACTTGACCATTTCTGCCTTTGCACCTAAATTTAAAAAAATTCCATAAGAATCAAAACGTTAATTTGTTACAAAGAATACAAGACAATGACTGAACTTACTTGCACCAGTGACCTTCCCATCAACTGGTCCTAGGGTATCAAATATGGCATCATACTTCGAACGGTCTTTGTTAACCACCCATTCAATCTCTCCAGCACCAGCATCGACGCCTTCACCCCTCTTGTAGCCAAAGGGACTGATTGTGTCTTCAATGTTCTTAAATGCACCACCTATAAAACATTGTGGACACAAGCATCAGAAAAGCTGCATTACAAATTTTAAAAAATATCAAGTTAGGACATAAACAAAGAAGCAAACATTACCCTTCACATTGCCTTGATCAACATCTCTGTAAGCCTCCTCCTCTTGTGGTATTTGAGCCATGAGGCGAGCAATATCTTCAGACAGCATTTTGTCCACAACTTCCAGCAATTTAATCTTAATAGGCTGGAATTTGGTGAAGTCATGATGGACAAGTTGCTCCTGGAAATACAGTAGGTATATTAAGTAGACCAGGAAATTAAAAACAATAGTCAGCATAATATCAGGAACATTACCTGCATTTTCTTCAAGTCTGGGAAGTCACCAGGTGAAATCTGATACTCTCGCTGGATTTGCTCATAGATGGCACCCAAGTTCTTGATGAGTTCTTTCTTCTTGCTGTCTTTGCCAAAAACTGATGGCATATCCTTTCGCAGAGCAGCAATTATGTATGCATGAACCTAAAATTCAAAGGGAAATAAAAATAAATGAATTGAGATGATGATGCAAAAGGAACACTGTGGCAAGATAACTCATGGCATTTACCTTAGCTAATCTTGCTCGCTTAATCAAATCGTTCAATTTACGCAGAGCAGCATTTCTTGGCAGTGATTGGAGATCTCTGAATAAGTCTTGTTCTTCATCTTCAAATAATCTGTAAAATAATAAGAAAACACAAAGCTAAGAATTCATCTAAAAGCATGAGACATTCAGCTGAGGCACAGAGAGGTAGGCAACATGAGAACAATTACCTTCTGTTGACATCGTAGCGAAGAGGCTGATCCCAGAAGGACCCAATGTATACTCTCGCAACTTCAGGAGTTCCCAGGACTTTTCCCAAAGACCACATCAAGGCTCCATAAACTCTCATGAGCTGCTGATGATCAATCATGTCGGCCTTATTCAACGCAATACGAATCTTGTCATCGTGTCCTCTCAAGGCTTCAATTGATCTCCGGAACTCGTCAGATATGTCCAGCTTGTGTGCATCGAACAGAAGAATGATGCGATCAACACGCTCGGCAAACCATTCAAGCACACCAGTGAATTCATAACCACGATCAGTGCGTTGTTTTTCTCCAGAGAGAATACCAGGGGTGTCAACTATGGAGATACCCTTCAGGACAGGTGAGTTAACGGACGAGCATTGAAACCGGTTCAGGAATGCATTGCCAAACTTGGATAGGGGCCGGAACTGCTTCTTGGGGTCCACAACCAGGGCGTTTCCAGGAATGACACCTTCTTTATCATCGTACATGACAGCTATGAAGCGGTCTGTAGTGGGCTCGGGGCCAATGCGAATGCCTGGGAAGTCTCGTTCCAGCAAATACCTGATGAACGTAGTCTTGCCTGTCGAGTACTGCCCCACAAGCAGGATCATTGGTTTCGCAGTAAAATCTGGATCATCGAGCTGAGGAGAGTGGAAATCGTGGAATTGGTAGTGCTCTTCAAGCGGCAGCAGCTTATTCTTGTAAATTTTTTGAAGTCCCTCCGTCACACTCTCGTAGACGTCGGGGTTCTTCTTGCTGTCGTCCCTTCCCAGCCAGCTGAACATTTTGATGGATTTTTCAACACTTTTCCGTCAAATGGAGGCTCAAGGAGCCTGACAACCTCAACCTTTTGACGCCTTCAACAGCTGCGTTGCGTGACTGCGTGACTCAAGCACCGCCTCCGCTGACACACTGACGACACTGACTCGGGATGGGCGTACTGCCACTTCCGCTGCAGTCGCTTCCTGTGCCATGTCTGACGATGAGAAATTGGCAGATCAGAACTGATAAAGAGTAGAATAAGTAGATCCCTCTCGGGATCGTTTATTTAATTTTGTTCCCCTCTTACGTCCCCACACAATAAATAGCCAACAACTGCCAACCTCTCATGTTTATCTAGCTCCACGCTGAAAAGAATTATGCCAGAAGTAAGATTTTTAAAATTTCATTTCATTTATTTTTATTAGCAAGGTGACACCGGCGCTGGCGCATTTTTCACTCGATCTTCTTTCCTTTATCATTATTCTTATTTGTTTTGAGAGTTTAGAGTTTAGAATGGCGCAACAGAGGTGGCACACGATGCAGGCGCAACGCGCACAGCTGGCTGGTGCAAGGCAAGGTCGAGGTCGTTCAGGGAAGACCCACCCACATCCATCCTACTGTCCCGTGGCCCCTCGCCCGTCCCAAGGGCACGGCCGTGCGGCCCATGTGCGGCCCGAGCACCAAAGAGCATTGTGACACTTTGGCGAATCGCTTCCGGCCATTCCATTTTCGGAACGTTTTCCCGCTAGTGAGAACAATTCCAACCCAGTGTCTCCGATGCGGGCAAAACCCGAATGAACCCAAAGACTCCCGATCATTCATTCATGCGTTCATTCACTCTGGTCTTTCGTTCGCTCGTTCAACGGCGCGGTGGTCCTGGAGCAGACCAATCGTGAACGCCAACAGAGGCGTGAACAGCGGGCGGCTAGATTGGAAGAGTAGGCAACTCAATGAGTCCAAATTGTTTGAGTGGAGAAAGTTGGCGCAATGGTCAGCAGCGCGGCACGCGTAGCTCCATGCTTCACCGCGTATGACAGGCGACGGCGCGGCCGCCGATGACACAAGGACGCCCCCTCCTCCTCTCTTGGGAGGGGTCGACGAACAGCTCCGCGCCGTCCAGGACACGACACGCTATGGTCGCGTGCCCCAGGACCCCTGCAGGACCCCAGCAGGACCCAGACCCAACCAAACGCGAAAACCAGAGGCTAGGGACGGAGGCTTGCAAGCCGCGTGGGGGAGGCGGTACGCACAACTTGCGGCGGAGGGTCTGATACTTCTTCTTCATCGTGCCCGTGGAGCTCATCCTGAGGCGCGAGCGCTGGGCCGGCTGGACAGTGGCGCGGGGCGGCGGCGGGGCGGTCGGAGGCAATCACTGAGCCCAACCGAGTCGCAGGGTCGGTACTAGGTGACCACGTCGCGCCGCAAGCCGTAAGCGCCGTAAGCCACAGGACCAGTTTATTTTCGGCACCGAGCCGGGCCGGGTGGGCCGGGCAGAGCGCCACGGAGACACACACCGCCCGTGCCGTCCAAGTCGCAGTGGGAGGGAAGACCAGGCGAGCAGAAAGGACGGGCATTGTGCTCGGGGACAGTGGCGCGGCGGCCAGGCAGGCGGTCGGCGTGCGCGCGTGACGGCGAAGACCTCGGCCACAAGTGCCAAATGCCGACGCACACCTCACTTGAACCACACAGACAAACGGGCAAAAATCATGGCGGCGGCGTGGTGGTGGGGACCAACAGTTCTCAGTAAATAGGCCGAGTTGTAATAAACTTTACATCATAAAATTCCAATTTAATTGATTAGGAAAAAATACAGTCATGATACAAACCAGTCTGCTTGTTTACATTTAGTAATCATGAATTTACAATCTGAGGAGAAATGAATGATAAGCACATATTCTCAGTCAGTTGTGCAAATGGATATGAAATTCTAGATTTCTAGGATGAAAAACATACTGACATCTGATATGAATCAGGTGTCTTTTACGCAGTACAGTAAATACAGTCCTTATAGAATACAAATTCCATTTAATATAATTCATCTAGGGGATTTTTTTACAGTAGGAATCTAACAATGAGAAACTGGACAAATCTTAAAATAGCTTTACAAAAAGTAGAAAGCAAGCCTTTGTGTTTGTTCCCACTAGAAACAGCTACTTCTTAAAGATGAATTAAAGTGCAAAGTAGGATAAGTAAAATGAGAAAATAAGGAAGGTATTCAGCACCATGTTTTCCCTTCCATTCATTAGTCATATGTAATTGAATTTTGATAACAATACTTAAATACTGAACTATTCAGTGCTTTTACAGTCTCAGTAATAAATTCAGGTAAAATTGTACGGACAGTTCAGAACAAAAAGTGTTCTATCTTCCCCAAAAGAAAAATATTAAAAGAAAATGCAAAGCAGATGTAAAAATTGGACTTTAACGTGACCTGTAATATTTTATGTTAAATGCTATGTGGTTGAGTTTAAATTCATCAGTATCAATCAGTAGGAGTAGTTTGTTGGTCCCAAACAACACTACTGCAGAAAGTTTTTAAGCATCCAATTCAGCTGTCCATATTATCACTTCAGGATGCAATCTGAGAGAAAAATCAAGAGCATTCTCACAACTCTTTGGTAACATTCTAAAGAGAATAGCATTTTAAATAAAATTTCAACATGATTATTTTTGAAGTTAATGTCATTCCACCTTACAATACGTATAGGGCTGTAAGACTCTTCAATCTTCATAAATATAAATAAATCAGATTTAAACTAGAAAGTATAATAAATAATGTGAGCACCACATTAAAACTCTTGACACATTAGACTCTTAACTATGAAGATAACATCAGCTAAATTTAAAGTTACACAAATATATAAGTTCACAGGCAGCTTTTTCAGGTAATAGATTGGCAACAAGTGAACATCACAAGATACCTCTTAAAACAACCTATAGGCAGGAGGGTAACGTACATTAGCACTTTCTTCAATGTGTCTAGCCCAATGGTCCCATCCACTGGCACGTACTGCAGCAACATAAGCCCGCTCCAAAGCCTTTGACTGCTTCTCACCCAAACCAGTTACAATCATCTTCAGAAGACGTCCTAGGTGACCATGAAGAGCAGCATGCCACATCAAAAAGATTTGAATCTGTAAGAATATTATGATATATAATTAAGTCAGCAACAACTGAAAATGTTTTATAACAACTTCTTGCCAGAGGCAGTCTTATTTTACTCACATTTGAGTCCTTCTGATCAACAAATTTGAAAAGCTCTCGACGCAAGGCGTCAATGTCATCCAGACTCACTGTTTTGTCCGAATCTGTTGTCTTAAGCAAATACTGACTGCACAGAACAATACCCTTGGCTGTCAAAGCCTCAATTAGTGTATTCCTTTGTCGGTCCATTTGACTGAAAAGAAAAACACATACGAGTTACAATGAAGATAAATGCCACCCTTTTACCAAATTACGCAATTGAGATTGCAACTCACGTCTTCACTTTGGCTGCATCTGGACTCAGATCTGCTTTCATGCCATAGTGAGCAAGAAGAGCATTCTGATCAATCTGGTCGAAGATGGCATTGACCACACTTAAGATGCGAGTGAGGAAGGCGGGATCTCCAACAGGTGGCGTCAGCTCCCCCACAACGGGATACGAAGCCTTATCCCATGCAGTCTTGAAGTTTTTCAGCATAGCCAGGGGGATAGATAACTTATCAGGATGAGCAGCCCGGAGTTCATCGTACAAGGCATCAGCATGCTCACCTCGCTCTGTAAATGATTAATAATAATAATAATAATATTACCACCAATTACTGTCTAAAGAAACTCGCACACAGTGTCCACACTTTGCTCTCACCGAGCTTTTCAAGATGACTGATTTTGAAATCAAGTAAGGCTTCATTGTAATCTTCTAGTTTCTCCTTGGGTTTCTCCTTGGTGTCTTTATCTTTGCAAGAAGTAGGTGAATTTGTGGTGGCCTCACTGGTCCCGTTTGAAACAACACTAGTTGTGCTGGAGTTGGGAGCATTATCTTTAGGTGGTTCCTTGGGACTACTTTCTGCCTGAGAGGCAGCGTTCTTAGTCGTGTTCTTGGATGGCTCCGGAAGAATGTAGCGGATGCCATAACTGCAGGCCTTCTTTCCAAGTTCATCCTTAGCAAAAGTAATTGAACCAGTCAAGTACTGGCCCAATACGGCAGCTTTAGCAATTCTGTCCTTCCTAAAAATAAAAAACAAAATAGAAAGTGAGTTGAGAAACATGAAGGAAAGGAGAATACAAAGTAATGAACTTACTTGTCATTTGTTATGGGAGCAATGTATACAGGCTGTATCTGATTTTTATGCAAGACTTGGCCAGAAAGTTGGCGTCCACCAGTAAGGGCAGCCTTTTCTGATCCAAACACATCTAGGGTTAGAGCTGAAGTGAGCTTTTGTGAGATCAGTATAGGCTTTTCAGTAAGCTTTTCTAGAAGGTCCTTGCGTTCATGTCGAATGTGCATACGAAGGGTGTATTCCCCTTTCTCCAATTTGGTTGAGGTCTGAAAAACAAAACACATTTCACATAAAAATACATGTTGCTCAGGCAAAATAATGTTTAAAAACCACTCATCAAAGTCGAGAGGAACTCACTAAGTCAGCATAGGCATCTCCACTAGTAATATATTTTTTGGTAGAGGAAAATAGCATCCACAACTGGCTTTCAAATTCTGATTCATACAACAAATGGGTAAAGTATGGGCAGATAGGTGAAACCTCCGTTTCATTACGGATGTTGAAGTTATAGGTGAGCTGAAGTTCATAAATCTGGCGACCATCAGGGATCACATCACGAACGGGGCATAACACAACAATCTTCGAATCTGAAGGCCTGTAAACATGGAAACATGAGAGAAATGTCATGAGGAAACAAATCTTGTAAACAAGCAGCTGATTTGGGAGTTTGGGCACATACTTGCACGCACTGACAACATTTTTGAGACTAGCACTTGGTGCCAACTCTTCAGAGCTTGGGCCACCGTACAAGTCAACTCGGTGAAATCCTTCAGATGCTTGCATAACAATATCTGGTTTCTCCGGCTTAATGCCGTGGAATGAGATAGAATAACTAAGAGTTGACTCAGTGAGGTCAGTCCAAAATTTGGCAACAACCACTTCCATGATGATACCGCCCTGTGAGAAGAAAAGTGATTAATTTGAAAGTGAGCAAATTTGAGGTAAGGACATTTTCTTGAAATGTTTGTTGGAGGAAATAAAGTAGAATTCAGGAGTACTAACCCTCACAGCAAAGCTATGCACTGATTCAAGATTGGGAATCATCTGAATAGACTTAAGATACTGATTTGTCTTCGTAGTTTTCCTTGGTCTCAGCTGAAGAGTATGCAACCTAATGTTGCTTTTCTCAGGAGTCAGTAACCGAATAACTGATAATAAACAAACAAAATTTGTAAGTAACAGTGAATGTCCATGCTAATTGAAAAGTTGTTTACTCTCCCTCAACATACCTGCCCAAGTAGCATTCTCAGGCACCATGATAAAATGGCGGTTCATTTGTGAGGGTTTGAATAATACATTAGAGTATGACAGCTCTTTCTTTTCCTGCTCTGCTGGGAACACAAAAGGCTGCACCAAGGTGATGGGGATCCTGAATACTGGTCCCTTCTCGATACAGGTTGAATCATAGGCTCTCACACTGTGTTTACAAAGGCAGAAAGACAAAAACTGATTTAAAAAGCCAATCATTACCTTACAATGTACATAAACAGTATGAGAAATGAGAAATATTGTACCTGGCTGTATGCACTCCAGTAGACAGGCTGGTAGGATCTATGCGGATAGAGATTGTGCGCGGCATGTTTGTGCAGTTAAGATGAGATGGATGAGACACCCATGGTTGATCACAGGTCAAGACAATGTTCATATCGAAATTGGTCTTCTCAGGGTGAGACTCTAAAAATAAAAATATTTTCAAGAAAATTAATGAGGGTGAAATTCAAGGATCTTTTCCAAAAGTCGAAGTGTCCAAAATCACATGCATTTCTCACCAATGTTAGATCCATTGAAGAAAATGGGGTCTACTCTTACAACAATATCTTCAGGCTTGCTTCTAAACGAATCACGAAGATAAATGCCCCTCATTCCCTGATTACCACATGTCAATTGGAAACGAATATTCCTTTCTGGCTGATTGTGGTAAGCCACCAAATGTTCAAAAGCTTTTTCTACATTCACCAAACCTTCACCTTGTCCATATTTATCTTGGTTCACTAAGAACTGAGCTGTATTTTCAAGCGCACGCTTCACAGAGTATGGAGTGTAAGGCAAATTTCGCTGCACCATTCCAGAGAGGAGCACAGCGACCACACCACAGACATGTGGGGATGCCATGCTAGTTCCATTCATTAGCATGCTATTGCGCAACAAAAATTGTGGGACAGATGTAATAGCAGCACCAGGTGCACATACATTCACACCAGGCTCTCCAGTAGGGCAGGGCCCCCTGGAAGTCCAAGTGGTTGATGTTCCAGGTAACTTTGAGCGGAGAGAGTATTCAGCAACCATCATCTCCGGAGAAACATAGGCACCAACTCCTGTTGAATAAGAAGTAAAGAATGTTGGGATAAAAAGACTCCTGTAAACTGTCTTCAGTAGTGACAGAAACAAAGACAAATAATGACTTACCAATCAAAGCATTAGAATTGACATTTGGAGGAGTGCTGATAGTGGTCAAAGCAGGGCCCTCATTTCCAGCTGAGCAGATCCACACAGGCCCATACTTATCAATGAGCTCGGACATCATATCAATCACTCGTCTGTTGAAAATAAGTTAATAGATTCAATCAATCAATCAAGCACAATCAATCACGCAACCCCTCTCTTTGCAACATGTAGAGCCCTGCATTAGAAACCCTTTCTGTCATGTGCATGCGTGATTGAGCTAATATTCTACAGAATATAGACATGTTACCACTAAGCATTATTACTTACCCTGAAACTGAATAGTGTGGATGTTCTCCATAGCTCATGTTCATGACATGCACTTTGCGGTTTTTGTTTTGCATCACTCGAATCATCGCTCTAGTAATAGCAGTGCCTGTCTCCATAGATGAAAGGCGCAAGTCACCAATGCACAATGATATGACTTGTGCACCAGGAGCTACTCCATTCCTCTCCGGTTCGTCCGGGAAATTAGCTGATGCAATGGCTGCCACATGAGTACCGTGACTTGCTGAAATATTAAGACAAATTTTAGATGATATGCCACAGTTACTTGATATGAGATACAATTTATATTTTTTGGAAAACTTACAGCACATGCTCACAATCTCAAGAATTTTTCCATCATCCCAAACATTGATAGCAATATTTAACTGGTCCGATGCTGACAGTGTGACATATTCATATGTCTTGCTGTATTCCCCAATTAGTTTGCAAGAGGCAAGGTCACCTACTCCAGAGGTATCAATGCAAGCTCTATAAAAAATAAAATGAGCAAAGGCATAAATGGCACTGAAAACTTTGATTTCCTGCAAAAATGTATCAATAGAATAAAGCTGCACCTCCAAATCTCGCCATCATTGAAGACAACACAGTCAAATGTAGGGCCCTGGCTGTGACCATTGTTCTTCTTGTCAACCTTGTCCATTTCAGTTAATAACTCTAACTGAGCCTCCAAATCCTCTTGTTTTAACTTGTCCAGACCTTTCAGAGTGGATTCTGGGTGCTCCTTCTCAAACTCCTGCAGAATATCATAATAGCTGATAATAAATAAATTTCAGCAGTGTCACAATCATTGTGTTTTTATACACCACAGCCATTACCCTTAATTTTCGTGTGACCTCAGCAATAGCTGCTTTGTGAGAAGGATCCCATAATTTCTCTTTCTTTTCACTATCAACACGTTCTTTGACCATAAAAGTGTAAAGTTCATAGGCATTTTTCACTCCAATGTGATAATCTCCTGAGGGATTCTTCCAGGTTGAAGGTACCTAAGGAAGATTATAAGAATTAGAAATAAGTCTGGTGAATGAATGGTGACATTTGTAAAGGGACAAACTCACTTTTAATTTCCTCCCTGTTATGCCAGTAATTTCTCCATCCTTAGCTTTAACAATGGTAGATATATCAACATCACCTGCTCCGCTGCAATCGTAAACTTCCACTAATTTCCTCTCGCCAGTGGTTGTCACCTGGAATAAAAGTAATGAAAATTACTTCCAAAATTGCAAACTTATGTTATTTGATGTCATATATGTCAAGTCATTCAGCTTTCGAGGTTAGTAATGACAACCGGCCCAACACCCGGCACCGAAACGAAACCGCTCATTACATAAAAGAGCGCGCCGTAACGTCTGCCAGACCTTCAGAAACGTAATTTACAACCAAAACGATTATGTAAACGTCAAACAGACGCCCAAATGCAGAAATGTCAGATGAAGAATCCAAGCCGAATTGATAAATTTATCGACAATAAAGGTTAATTATCTGTCCATTGTCATAAAACAGCAGACCAAAGTTAGGGGAAGACATCGCGAAAGGAAATTTAATTTTCCCTCAATGAAAATGATGAAACGCAAACAGAACAAAGAGGGATTGACAAGATAACCTACCTGCAGACCAGGTGCACCGGGGTCAATTCCCGAGTCCAGTACAGCAATGGTGATTCCTCTACCATCGTATTCAGGGTACTTGCTAAGGAAAGAGGTAACACCTGTTTCTTTCTTAGGTAAAAGAGCCCATGTAGGGAATTCCGACTCGACTATTGACATCGTTACAGAGTTTGCCTTGCTAGCAAAGCAAAAATCATTAAACAACACACGGCCTGCTTGAATGTTTCGTGAACAAACGTTTCGAGCAGCCATAACCTACTTATGTGTACTTATGTCAATGATTTAAGTGGTCAATGGGAGGATTAAATTTATATGTGCGGAAAATGAATTTAATCCGTAGAAGAATATGAACGAGGCACTGTCACTATATCAAAAAGAATCCCGATGAACAGATTTAACTGGCAAGCACTTGCCTTCTGCTTGCGATTTTCATGCAGGCCACTACAAAAACACGAAATATAAAAGACAAAGAACAAGTACTCAACGTGAGAGTTACAATAAAAAATTAACACAAAAAATATTCAGCAGTAATGTTTTTAAATCTTAAAATAAGACTTTCATTGAGATTTTCCTAGCAAAAAATATGATTTTTGTTGTTAAGTTGGCTGAGGCGGGCCTTTTGAAGAGCGGCTCAGGCCAAACGGACCAAAACAGGGGTCAGTTTTCACATTGTTACCATTATTGCTGTATCCCAAGATACGACTCATTCGTCCTTGAATTGACAACAATCAATAGCCAGGCAATAAGCGAGGTAGAAAACAATGGCTACTGAACTAGATGATGACGTAAGTATAAATCTTGAACTTGGTCTCTGTTTTTCACATACTGTCATTAACTCTTTGCGTGCGCCTTGAGAGATAATTATTTTGTTTTCACTAAACAGGAAAGATTCTCAAATGATGAAGTAAGTTCTATCATCAACGAATGCATTTCCAATGTATTAGGAGAAAAGTCCTTCTCCAATGAAAAGGCTGCTGTCTGGTCCAGCTCAATTGCATCTGCCTGCATTGCAAATCTAAATAAGCTGAACAAGCCTTACAAATATACAAGTATGTACATGAGGAGTGGAAAAAAGCTTCATTTCGCAGTCCGATTTTTAAATTTCTGCCTTTCAATCTAGTGACTTGCAGTATAATGCAGAAGAACGGGGCAGGAGTGCACTCTGCCAGTTCTTGTTACTGGGACAACTCAAATGATGCTGTGTGCTCGGTGCCTTGGGAAAATGACACCATTCATTGCATAGTCAATGTGTTTGGATTTGCTGTTTAATCCCCTCTCTCTCTCCCCCTTCCCCTAGTCCTCCGAAAATTCCTTCTTCGGTAAATACCTTGAACTGTATTTTGTAGAAGGATCTAGAAAGCTGAACTAGCCGTGTAATTATGATTTGATTTATTTACAAACACCTCATTTCCACTGCAGGTAAATGAATATAATAGCATCATTGGCCAATACTACACTAAAACTACCAGCCTCAATCACACAATTTTTGAATTCAAGAAATTTGAATGGAGAAAGCGAGAGTTGAGAAATGGAGGGTGCATCAGACAAGAAAGGAACACATTTTGGCACAAGGCAAATCAAAAGAAAGAAAATAGAAGATGTGCCAAGTATTCAAAGGAAATAACTTATAACCATGAAACGAAAATCAAATGTAATGAGCAGTAGCGTCAACCATAACAGCATTAACAGGGAGGAGGTTGAGGTAGCACACCCTTACAAAATCATCTTGATAACTTCAATGACACGCAAAATCTCACTCAAGCATTTGTTTGGACGGGTTCACTCAAATACCTGCCCTGTGCAATCACAAAAGTTTCAAAGCTAAAAAATGCATCATTGTTGGGATTTAATGACTGAAGTTTTATTTGCACTTCATTGTTGTTACATGATTTAATAAATGTATAATGCTCAATGCCCAATACGTAACATGATTGATTTAACATGGTGTTTTGTTTTCCTTCATGGCCAGTGGAGCAAAACTAGTTTAGTATATATAGACCACACTTAAAGGCAAAGTCATTCAACCGAATGTAAGGAATGGGCCTTGGAAAGTGAATGAAGAAACAAAAATCGGAATTATAATGAATGTCCATCACATGAATGGGGCTATGCAATAAATTAAAACGTCTATAAAAGAAACATTTTATTGTAAATAAAATGTAAAAACCGAGAAATAATGGGTGTGTTTAAAATGTATTCATGATGCTCTTGACAATTTTAGTTCGCATAACAGCCTCCTCTCCCTTTCTTTCTTTCTTCTCAGAGAATAACAAATGAAACTAATCTAAGTAAGTAATTAAGGTTCGTACATCCAAGATGAAATCTGCACTAAGTGGGCAGTAACAAAAGTGTAAAAAAATAGAAAGGCATAGAAAGGAACATCTAGAAGCCCTTAACTTGCTCTCACACACACATATGGAAATGGCAAACATTTGCTCAACACTGCCCATTATTCCTTTAACACAATGCTGCCACAGGAAATAAATAAATGAAAAAGTTTCCAAATATATTCCAACAAACTTCAATTTTTTAATAAAAGGAAAAAAAAAAAAAACTTCCCAAAAATTACCAACCCAGAGAAAATCTAGATGGAACAAGCTGTTTTCGGACATTGAAAGACATTTAGAGACGCATGCTATTCCATAGCCAAAGGTTAAAATAGAAAAATTGATAAAAATGCATAAATCATAAACAACAAACACATTGAAATGATGCACATCCAGCTCAACTACTCCAGAGTTTAAAGTGACAGGTAATAGCTTCAATGTATATAACATTCCACAAGAATGAAATGGAGAAACTTACATCCTGAAGACAATTGACATACAAATAACTAGCACACAGAACAAATCAGCTCCTCCAGTTAGAATTAAGGCTCATGTCCAAGAACTTGTTCCTTCATAAAAGTGGTAAAGCTTCAATAAATTGCTTCCTCCAATCTTTTCCCAGCTTTAGCATGTTCCTTAAAATACCCTTGCACTACCATAGACACACAATTAACAAAGATTTTTTTATAAGCAGATGATGCAGGTCAAGAGAGGAACAATTTCAGGAAGGGACAGCATGTGAACAAATTCTTACTGCAAAACAGGACAAGTAGAAAAAAAAGACAACATTGAAGAAATACAATCTTGGTTGAGTGTTTTATTTATTTTCGTGGTTTAAAATTCATATACAAGGACTTAGAGAAGGTAAAACCAGTTTAGAAATAAAAGAGTGCAATTTTGAAATAAATTTGGAACAAACACCGTTGCTGGAATTTGCTGTAGGCCTACCCTCAACTGCTGAACCTGCTTTGCGTTTTCCAGAGCCAGCGTACATTTGTCAAATTACAAATAAACATACCAACTAAGCCTACAATTGGGGAGAATATACAATGCTTCCCAAAAGAGACCCAGATGTATGATGGGAAAGGAGGAGGAGACACTGAGATACAATACCATAAAAAAGAGCAGATAGGAAACATAGGCCATGGGAGGGAACATTGACTTTTGGGACCATAGAAGGGAGGTACACATTTTCGTACAAAGACTGACATTTTCCGGTTTTCTTGATTTTTATTATTTTTTTTGTGAAACTTAATTATGGAGGGGATAAGGAAGGAAAGCTTAGTTATCGCCACCTTCTTGTGGTTCATCCGCATCCCCTTGTGTGTCGGAAGTCCAGAGTGTAAGGTTGTCCCTCAGGAGCTGCATAATAAGGGTGGAGTCCTTGTATGAATCCTCGTTGAGTGTGTCCAGCTCCGCGATCGCGTCGTCGAAAGCCTGAAACCAAACACCATTCAATAAAAAAAACTGAATAATAAAGTCATCAACTACCGTGGTGAAATATAATCTAAGAGTTTCTCAGGTATAGTCTAGGTATGATCATAATAATCCAAGGGGTTGTAAATGAACGCAACCTTAGATTAAGTGACTTAAGCTTTAAAATAAATCTAGTAGTCTAATGCAACAAAATATTCAATGAAACATGAAACTATGGTTAGTGAACAGAGCAGATCATGGACAAAAGGGCTTATCAAGTTGGCCATTTATTTCTACATTGAAAAACAGGAAGGAAGATCCAGAAAGCGTTTTCAGGAGAGCCTGGGCTGGATAACCTATTTTTATTTTAAATCTTAAAATAAGAGAATCAAAGCTTTAAACATGCAGAAGTTGCACACATGTATTTGTTAGACTGTTATTAACGCCAAACTTACAATACAGGTGGGAAAACCAGTAGGATTTGAATTTGTTAATACTAAATAAGTTAAATAAAATTATCCACTTGAGAGCACACTTTAAGCGAGGTCAATTAAGGAGAGACTGCCAATTTTCTACAATTCTTTAGCTCCAAAACAGGGCAAAATAACGCAAAGGGGTGCAAAAGAGGATTCTGATCTTAAAGGGCTCCACAGACAATACCTGTTTTGCCAAATGGCAGGCCCGTGCGGGGGAATTGATAATCTCGTAATAGAACACAGAGAAGTTCAGGGCCAGGCCAAGCCTGATAGGGTGTGTAGGCTGCATCTTTGACTTCGCTATGTCAAACGCTTCCTGGTACGCTTTCTGGGAATCGTCCACCACAGCTACAAACATCATGTTTTGTAAGCATCATAAATGGTATGCATTCACAAGGAGTCTAGATCACTAGCCCTGTCCATGTTCTGCCACTGCATCACCACCACCACCACCTGCAAAGAGGGCTCCAAGATCTTCTTCCTCACTCTTCAAAAGTGTTAATTTAAGGGAAAGTGACAAATCAACAAGGGGACCAGGCAAAAATAAAACTGGGACATGAGGAGCAATGAACTTTCGAAGATCTTGGTGCCACAGAAAAAACAAAAAACAAACCAACCTGTTTGGCTAACTGGCACGCTTTGTCTGGGGAGTTGAGTATTTCATAGTAGAACACTGAGAAGTTGAGTGCTAGGCCGAGCCTAATAGGGTGTGTTGGCTGCATCTTGGCTTTGCTGATCTCGAACGCATCCTGGTAGGCTTTCTGCGAGTCATCTACCACGGCTAAAAACAAACAACATTTTCTCAAATGATGACAAAGTGACCGGGACACAACCCCTCTCCATCTAAAAAGGGGGCAAAGTGCAAGTAACACAATATCAAAGAAGCACTGACAAATTATTAAAAAAATGAAAAAAAAAGAAAATACTAATACATCAAACAAAAAAAAAAAAAAAAAAAAAACGCAAGATAATTTTACTGGTTTAATTAAAGACATCTATTAACACATGCTTATTGTACATCCAAATTAATTGAAAAACAAAGTGATGTACCAATTTTTGCCAGAAAACAAAAGTAAAAATTTGACAAACAATATTGACATAAAAAGAAAAATACTCACTGTTTCTGTTTTCACCCTGGGCAACCTCTGCTAGATACCTGTAGTAGTCACCCTTCATCTTCAGGTAGAAAACTTTGCTTTCAGCATTGCTGGCCTTGGGGATCAGGTATTTGTCTAAGAGACCCTGCAACACGCACAAGGAGACAAAATTGAAGCAAAGTCGACTAATGAAAGGGTCCGAGGTGACGGCAGTTTGTCATGAGCGGTCTGGACCTTTGATGTACCGAGTTGCTGTGCCCTCGCTCAACCATCATGTTGTTCAATCGCGGGTTCCCCTTTCATCGCTCCCCATCCCCACTGCAGCGCTAGGCCGACGCCGGCACGGCTGTGGCACGGCGGCCACAGGTCCGCCGGGCCGACAAAGAAAGTCCAGCCCAGTGTCACCAGGTGCCGGCCGTGTAGCCGCGCAGCCACGCCGGCCGGTCCGTCAAAGGCGCCTTTGGCGCGACCTTGAGCCTCGCGTCGAGAGGTTCAGAGACCGCCACACCAAGTGCTGGCCGCCAGACGGGCCCGGCCGGCCGGCCCGCCCCGCCGGCCCAGGCGCAGCTAAGTAAAAGTCGCGGCTAAGGCGGCCCGGCACGGCCTTTCATTGGCCGGGCTGGTAATGAGCCCCACACCACGGAGCGGCGCAGCACAACCCTGCAAGGCCATTCACGGCACTTCTTTATTTCAAAGAAAAAGCAAGCAATACGCCCGACAGCCGCCTTCAGCCTAAACCGGCCGAGAAGCCCGCACGCCGAAAAGCGCAAGGGGAGGGGGGTCTCTAAGCCGGCATAGACGGCGTAGAACGGCGTTAACACCTGCCCCGGCGGGGGGTAGGGGTAGGGGCGTCGACGTGGACCATCAGCAGAAGTATCCAGAGCGGGGTGCTGACCCAGGACTTTGACTCCGTCGCAGGGAGGGGGGAAGGGGACGCCGGCGGAGAGGGGCACACGAAGGTGGAGGGCTGAGAGGGCGGCGCATGGAGGGGCGGGGAGGTGGCAGGGTGGGCCTGGTGGGCACCGGGAGGGCGCGCCCGGGGCGGCGGTGCGGGGCAGGAGGGGCGGAGCGAGGTATCGATCAACCGGGTGGCCTCCGCCCCTCTTGCCCCGCCCGTCTCCACCTCGCCGCGCGCCCCGACCTCCACCCCCCGCGGCCCCAGCACTTCCACCGGGACGGCAGCAGGGGTGACTGGACTGGACCCCACCCGGCCGGCCTAGGCGGGCCTTGGCGGCCTGGGGCTGCCTGCCCGGGCTGGACGCGCACCCTCCCTGCAATGACCGGCCCGGGGGCCATGGGGCCATGGGGGGCACCGGACTAGGCCTCCGAGACCTAAAGAATGAATGCCAATCAGAGGCTCGGCGCGCGGCGACCGGTACACCCGTAACTCTCCATCGCCGCCCGGCCGCCGACAAACAGCGAGCCCATCCCGCTCCACGCGAATCGCAGCGAATCGCCCCCGAGGAGGTTCGCAGCGCCGGCGTGGCGTCGCTGTGTGTCACCGCTAAAACGGAGTGGACCGGGCCAAAGGCAAAGCCAAGACCGGCAAGGATCGGCGAAAACCACGCGCCCATGACGTCACCACGTCACCGCGGCCAGGGAGGGGGGTAGCCCGTCTCCAAACAACTTGACGCAATGCCAGGTCGGCTGCGCACTGCCTGCAGTGCCCGCACTGCCGCTGCCGCAAACAACCCCGGCCTCGGCACCCTCGCCCTACTGGAACCCCTCCAGCGCGACGGGACGGGGCGTGGCGCGGCGGCGCGCCCAGCTTTGAACGAGGACAAAAATAGCGCGGCTCCCCGGGCCGGGCTGCCCGACGGCCTGCCGGGGCAAGAGGGGCGCGGTCCAGCGGAGAACACCCCTGCAGGCGAGGCGTGCGCTTCGCGGCATGGCAAGTCCGAGGACATGCCTCCGCCCGGTGCAGCCCCGCGGCAGGGACAAAAAGGCACGCGCCGCGGCAGGGATGGAAACCGAGGCCATCAGACTGACTCCGCTCATCTCCCCGCACCCCCCGCTCGCTCCTTACGGAACGCACCATGAGTGTGAGAGAGACAGACTCCACTGGGCCATCAGCGGAATCATCCTTCATCTTCAGACCGGCCCGAGAGAGCCGTCTCGTCGACCTGGAGTGCGAGAGGGACACGAAACCACTGTTCGCAACCAGCCTGCGGCCCGGCCACTACCGGACCCTCATCCGCACGTTCCCAGGGTTTCCAGCCCCATTAGGGTGGCAGGCGTGTCCGCGCGCACGCGACCCCTACGCGGTAAAGCCCTGCCCGCCCTGTCGCTAGGCACGGCCAGAGGTGGGGCGCGCCGTGCCGCCGTGCCACCACGCCGCGGACGGGAGGGCGGAGGTCGCCGCGCAGCGAGAGGGGTGCCCGGGGAAGGGGAGCCGAGCCGGGCCCGGGCCGTGGCGAGCCGAGCACACGCCCATCCTTTCTCTGGCCGGTCCGGGCAAACGCCGGCAGCAGGCGGACGGACGACGGACCGGGCCGCCGCGCCGCCGGGCTGTGGGCTCAAGGAAAGGCCAGCACGCCCATGGCCACATGGCCGCGACCGCGCCTGCCCTGACGAGCCCGGCCGGCAGCGTCGCGGGGCGCATGTCCTAGCCGCGTCGCCGCGTCGGTGCACGCTACTGCGTCGTTCGTCGTCCCGCAGCCGCCACCGCGCCGCCGTCACCACTCGACCCATCCGGCCGCCAGCGGCCGCGTCACCACAGGAAGCGGAGGAAATGACCCTCATTTTCCATTTTCCCGGCCCATTGGCGAAAAATGGCGCCCAGTCCCCGACCCTCCCTCCCTTCCTTCCTTTCGGTTGTTGATAACCGATCGCGACGAACCATCACGTCAACAGCTCGATTTGCAACAGAGCCATACTCGCTCTGTCTCTCTCGCACTCTTGTGCGACGCCCCAGGAGTGCGAGAGGGACAGTGACAAGAGCACTGTTCAGAATCGAGCCGAAGCCGGTCTTCCGCGCGTCACCGAGCCCACCGGCCGCTGCCAGGAGCCGCCGCCAAAAGAAGGCGCTAAACGACGCCGCCAACGAGACGCGGCGGCCGAACCGTTTCATTCGCACTCATCGACGCGACAGATAACAAGCGGCGCGGCCGCGAGCACCGCGTCGACGCGTCACCAGGCGCAGTCCTCGTGGCCGCCGCCGCCCGACCGAGCCGGGATAGACCGCCCCGCAACACTCGCGCGCTCGACGGGACGGCCTGGCTGGCATGCTGCACCGTTGTCCCCGTCATGTCAAGGCAGCGGCCAGGCCTGGCCAGGCAGCAGCCCAGCCCCCTCCACGTTATCAACTGCCTGCCTGACCGCCGCCATGAGGCATGCCACGCCTAGCCATGCCGACCGAGGTCAAGGGCGCGGCGCGGCGGCGCAGCGCGCCTCGATGCATCCATCAAACGCGCATCATCGGACGCTCCCCTTCCCCAGGACACACAAGTGCGGCTGCAGGCCGAAACGGCGCCACAGCGCGCTCGCGGAGCGTGCGGAGCGCACAGTGGGCCAGAAGGCCGGTGGAGACGGCCAAAATTCTAAACGCGTTTGGAGCTCTAAAGTCGCTAAACGAGACACAAACCGAACGTGTGACCCCACCAATGGATTCCTCGTTCGGAGATCAAACCATTGATGGGGCCACACGTTCGATTCGAGTCACATCCAGCGACTCTGGAACTCAAAACGCGTCTAGAGTTTTGGCCGCCTCCACCGGTCTTCTGGCCCTGGCCCATTGACGGGCGCTCCGTGGGAGTGCGAGAGAGACAGCGCCGCCGCGCTTCCCGCCCCGGGCACCAGCGGTCCTTCCGGTGTGCCAGCGACGCGTCGCGACGCCGGACGGGGAGTGGCCCACGTACGTCCACACTGGCCGTGCGTCCGTCCGACCGCGTCCCGCCGCGTCACACACGGGGCGCGCCCGTCTAGCGACTCTAGCGCACACAGCACACGCCTACGCGCTGTTACTGGGCCAGGCAGCCAGTCAGGCAGGCAGGCGACCCACGCCGCCAGCCACGCGGCGCCATGCTGCGGTGGTAGCCGCGAAGCCGCGGCGGTGACTCGCCGTCCTACTCATCCCCAGCCACCGGAAGCACAGGCCGCGCCGAGGCTGCGCAGGCCAAAGCACTCCCAGCCAGTGGCGTAGGGAATCCCTCCGCATACTACGAGCCGCGGACAACGAGCCCAGTGTGGCGGTCCACGAGCACCAGACGTCGAGACACGCGCCGCCTTTGCACTATCAGTTACCGCGCAGAAAGCAGGCGGCCGGCCGCCAGGACGCCGCCGTCGCCGAGCACGCCGATGACGCACCGGGGCCGCGGTTATTCCCCTCGGCCGCCGCGCTGCGCCGCGCCGTGCTGCCTCCATCCTCGGCGTGGCGCAACGCCGCGCGTCACGGCGACACCACTTGGCATTCGACTCCCTTATCCGGACACGTCCTGGCGTGGCGGGGCGTAGGACGGCACTCAATGTAAACGCTCGCACAGCTACGCAATTGACCCCCGAAAGGCCCGAAAGGCGCCCCTCCCCTCCCCGTCCGCAGGGCCCGCCAGACGGCGCACTCCATGCGGGAGTCGGTCGTCACAATGGCCCAGTGGCCCATCACGCTCCAATAACGCAGCCGTGACGTCATCACGCACGCGGCCTTGCCGACCCGCCCGGCCCGGGTTCGAACACCGAAGTCGGACAGGTTTTTTTCCGAGTGGGCGGCGCCGAGAGCGCGTGGTGCGGGCGCACACACACTGCACGTACCCCTCCCCCGCCGTCACCTGTCGAGCGGTTCCGAAGGCTCGTTTTGTCGCCCTGTCTCTCTCGCGCGCCATCGCGGGACGCCCCATGAGTGCGACAGAGACAGCTCCTTCCGTCTGATAGGCCGCAGGCCGCGGGGAGGAAGAGGAAGTCGCGATTGGCAGCGGAGCATCATCGACACACGGCCTGCCGGGCCTGCCCTTGCAGTCCGCCCAGTCCGCCCCTGCCCGGCACGGCACAGCACGCGTGCACTTACTCACACCTGCACGTCCATTCGCATCCTGCCCCCGAAAAAAAAATAACTACGCATCGATGGCGGAAGGCAAGTGGAGCGGAACCGGAACAAACACCACTCCCAGCAACGCCCCCTCAAAACGGCGAAACATTCAAACCCCCCACCCACCCTCCCAAAGACACGCTCATGACCCCGCATGCCGCGTGGGAAACTCCTAAGCAAACTCACCAGGACGTCGTAGCAGATCTCCCTCAGTTCCTTCTCGACCTTCTCTCTGTACTCCTTGGCCATCTGCTGCTTGCGTTCTGACCCTTCAGTCTTCTGCTCGATTGAAGAGATGACTCTCCAGGACGATCTCCGGGCGCCGACCACATTCTTGTACGCCACGGACAGCAGGTTCCTCTCCTCGTTCGACAGCTCCACGCCGGTCTCTGTGACGGCCTTCATGGCCGCGGCCATGTCATCGTAGCGCTCGGCCTGCTCCGCGAGTTTCGCCCTCTGGACCAGTTCCTCCTTGTCCACAGACATGTCTGTGCGGTTGTGTGTCGCGTGGGGTTACGGCCAAGGAACACGTCACGTCCAGACACCAGAGGATGTCCGCCTGCGAAAAAGGAAAAGACACGTTAGTCACAAAACAGCTCGACCTTTGTCTTCGCGCCGCGTCGCCGCTTGGCGCTTTGCCGCGGCCGGCTTATCAACCTCATGTTGCAGTTGCCGACCCCCTCAAGGCCCTCAGCCTCTCTGCCCGCCTCGCCGATTAGAAACTTGTTGATCAAGTCGAAAACGCGGCCAAAACCACCGAGGCTTTTCGCGACGCGCCGCCTTAGAGCGCCGGGCTCTCAACCCAGCCTCCAGAGTCAACGGCACGAGAGGGTCGTCGTCGGCAGCGCACAGTGGGCCAGAAGACCGGTGGAGGCGGCCAAAACTCTAGACGTGTTTTGAGCTCCGAGTCGCTAAACAGGACTCGAACCGAGCGTGTGACCCCACCAATGGATTTCTCGTTCGGAGAGCAATCCATTGGTGGGGTTACACGTTCGGTTCGAGGCCTATTTAGCGACTCTGGAGCTCAAAACGCGTTGAGAGTTTTGGCCGCCTCCACTGGTCTTCTGGCCCACTGTGCAGCGCCCCCGGCGGTGGCCAACCACCCCGACGAGCCCAACCCACTCGCAACAATGTCGTCAATCCGGTAGCGGAACTCACTCAACGGTACACCAGCGCGCCGACAACGACACTGCCCTATGCCCGGCGCGCACTACCGCACCGTGACACAGTACAGCGACACGAGGCGCTGCGCACTCGGCGCACGCAGCGAGGTTAGGGCGGCCCTTGCACTCACTCAAGCCCTCCGGAGCCGCGCTGCGCAACGCCGCTACGCCCTTGCGTCCAGCCACGGCGCTAGTGAGGAGCGCGCGGCGCGGAGCGAGGAGGGAGGGCCTCCAGTGCCGCCAGCCACTTTACCCCCGACCCGGGCGAGCAGGGCGCTGCGCGCTGGGCGAGCGCTGCGGAGCCGAGCGGCAGACGAATCCAATCGATCGCTTTCGTTCGGGTAGTCCGCGAACACGGAGCACGGCACCCGAGTGGGGCTGTCGTCGCCGCCAGGCCGCGCCGCGCCGCCACCCTCCCGGCCGGCCGGGCCCGGGCCGGCTCGCTCCTCAGCAACAAGCTCTAGTGCAAGACGCGCTAGCGGCGCGCCAACGCACTAGCTCATCTCGGCCGCCGCCGCCAGCACCGGCCGGCCGGCGTGCGCGCCCACATGAGACGCCCCCCCTACAGGTGCGCGCGGGGGAGTGCGGCACCGCCGGGCACTGCGTCCCGCGGCCAGTGGCCGCCCAGGCTCGCGCCGCCAGCGCCCAGCCCAGTGAATGGCATTGCAATCGCCCCGGCGCGCTTCAGCCGCTGCAGCGCGTTGCAACACCCAAGGCCGCCGCCATTCAGCGAGGCTGCCGGGGGCGACGCGACGCACAGCGACGTCCTCATGCATAGCGCAAAGTGGCTGCAGAATCCAATTTCGGGCGCGCGATCATGCCGCCATCCCCTCCCCGCCTGTACCCTGTCGTCGACGCGGTCGTCGCGATCCCGGGAGTCCGTGGCAACTATTCGGAGGGGCGCGGTGTCGCCCGCGCGTCAAAGCGACTTGCCCGCCCTCTTGGTGGGCCGCGCCGCCGCGCCGGTGCCGGGCCGCTGTGCCCGTCTGGCCGACGCGGACGGACACACGGGCGAGGGAGGGGGGAGCGGGGCTATTTTCAGACTATCGAGCCCCCCGTAGCCTCGCGTAGCCTCGCGGCTGTAAATATAACGACACGGCACACACGTCGGGCGCACCGAGCGGCGAGCGCCCCGCCGAGCGCAGCACCCCGTCGGCCGGCCGCCGAGTCGCGCCAGTCCGCACAGACTGATGCCGAGAGTCGCTTTCGTCGCTCTGTCCCTCTCGCACCTGTAGGAGACGCCCTTCGAGTGGGAGAGAAACAGAGCAGCGAAGAAGACTGTCGGGACCAGTCTGCTGATTCCGAACAGAGCTCCGTCGCCGTCTCCCACCCCACGAGGTAGCGTTCCTCCACGCGGGGCGCCCCGCGAACGCGAGAGACAGAGCGACGACACCATCGGGACGTGTTCCATAATCACAGCCACGTTGTGCTCCTCAAAATCAGACCAGGAGGCAACGACACGCATTGGGGCCGCCGCGCCGCCGCGCCCTCAAGCGCCACCGCCGCCCATTTCATAAAACACGACGCGGCGCCGCGCCGCCGAGCGCCTCACGCAGGACAAGCTATCGAGCCACGCCTGGCCACGCCCCACGCCGGGCCGTAGTAGGGGGCGTAGTACGCCGGGGCGGGGCGGGGCGGGGCGGGGCAAAGGTGGGGGCCCTGCCGCCGGGCGCCACCACGTAACGCTCACCAGCAGCACCACACCGTGTGCAGCCCAATGCACCAACTGCAGGAAGTGGCCAAGAATGCCGAGCAGCTGACGTGGCAGCAGAGTGCAGGGCTGGCAGGGCCGCGCGACGCAGCGGGCGCGGCGCATGCGCCCCAGAGATGCACTTCCAGCCCGGCGGGACCGAAGGGGGAACAAGCCAACACATTGCGGCAACTTTCAAAACAAAAAGTTGGCGGCGGGGAGCGGAGGGGCGCGGGCGGACAGAAGAGCAAAACGAGCAGGCCGTGTGTCGAATACGCTAGCGCGGCTGCCTCGGCGGAGGCGGCGGGGGAGGCCGAGACCGTCTCTTTCCGCGTCGAGGTAATCCTCACCGAGATGAACCCCGCGAGGGGAGCAGAGGGTGTCGTATCCAGCCGACCTCACCCAGGCCTACTTCTCGCCGCGGAATGCCGCCAGCGAGTTTTCTTCCGCGCGAAGCACACCGACAACTACACGGGGTAGTCGTAGTTGGCGGCGGCGGAGTGGCTAGGACCGGTCGGTCAGCAACCTAGGCTCGGGGGAGGGGGACCGGAACGCACCACTCGACGGGCCGCCCCCGGGCCGCCCCCCGCGGGGGCGTGGCGAGGCGGCGGGGGCGGTAACGCGAGCGTGGCGTGTTCCGGAGAGTGTCTCGGCAGCCCCCCGCGGCACTGCGAGGCACTACGCGGCACGCCACCGCCGGGCCAGTGCGCCCCTCTCTCTCTTTCGCCCTCGCCGACACGGAACGCCCCGCGAGAGCGAGAGAGACAGCGCGCCGCGCCGGCCGCCATAACCCACTCGCACGGCATGGCTATTTCAATTGCGTCCCACTAGGGTCCGCTTCAGTCGGGCATCAGTCCAAAATAAACGAAACGCCACAAGCCGCCGACGCCACCAGCAAGCGGCTCAGAGGCGACACTGGAAAAAGAATAGAAACGGGGCCGGCGGCGTGGAACCGGCAAGGCGCGCAGAAAGGCCAGGGATCGTGTTCGCGCTGCTCCAGCTAGCCGTGCTAGCCGTGCCGAACCGCGAGGCCAGGCCACGCCAGGCCACGCCCACACGCGCCGTTTCGGGTCGCAACGCGCCCGTCGGTCCGCCCACGCGGCCGAGCCCCGCCGAGACCAACAAGCGCCTCGAACAGGCACGGCGGCGCCGCGACACTCAGCGCCAGCCAGTAGCGAGACAGGAGAAAAAATCAGGGTGAGCCTCCAATCCCGCCAGGCCGCCAGCCGTCTGATTCCGAGCACTGCTTTCGTCGCTCTGTCTCTCTCGCACTCATGGGGCGGTCCGTAGGGGTGCGAGAGAGACAGAGCGAAGAAGCAGTGTTTGGAATCAGACGGCAGGCCGCTTCCGAACAGCGCCTCCTCTCTCTCGCACGCCTTGCGGCCACGCAGAGCGAGAGAGACGAAACTACAATTAATTAAAGACGGACGCCCCTAAGCCGCGGCCAGGGGCAGGCCAGCCGTCTGATTCCGAGCACTGCCTCGTCGCTCTGTCTCTCTCGCACCCCTACGGAACGTCCCATGAGTGCGAGAGAGACAGAGCGACGAAAGCAGTGCTCGGAATGAGACGGCAGCGGATTGCGGCCGAGGCGGCCCAGCCAGCCGGGCCCCAGTTCGACCCATCGGACATCACTCCAGCCTTGGCCCTTGGGCTCCGCCACTCCAGCAGCAGCACGCCTTGGGGACCGGCAGCCGCGGCACCACGGCCTCGACGAGTGCCTAATTCGCACCCAGTCTGCAGGGTACCGGAAGGGAAGGGCGGGGGCTCACCTTTCAAGGCCCTTCAACCCCCGCTGCCCTGCGGCCCTGCGGCCCTGGGACCAGGGCCAGGCACGCCGGAATCCACGGCGGGGCGCGCAGGGCCCGTCGGGGTGGAAAACGCGACTGGAATCTCCGGCAAAGAACGCCCGGACTGCAGGGGCCTGGCCTCGCCTGGCCGGGCAGCGCCGTGCCAAACAGCAGTGCCGCGAGGACTGCACACCAACGGCGGGCTAAATCGATTAGCAATCGGGCGGCCGAAGACACAATTCTGGCCAAACCCACTTTCGGGGCGGAGCAGTCACCAGCGAATCGGAGAAGAAGAGCGGGAGAGAGAAACTTGGCGACAAAACGACAGCGGCGTCTTCCCCGGCAGACATGGCCGCAAAACGCTGCGAGCAAATTCGCGCCCCTCGCCGAGGTTTCGTCGCTCCGTCTCCCTCGCACTCTTGGAGCGGCACGGGCGGGAGAGAGGGAGAGAGCGACGCACAGCCCCGGCCGCGCGGTCTCCAAGGACGCCGCCTCGGCGCTTCCCTGCTTCCCGCTGATGAACCCGCCCAGGTCGATTTGCCTCGACTTGCCGAGGCGAGGGTTCGACTCCCCGCGCCCCCCTCAACCAGCACCAAATGGCCCCGCCCCGCCCATCCCGCCATCAACAACACGGACACCGACATCAAAATTGGCGCCAAAATACAAAAGCCAGCACGGCGGCGATGGCAGTGCTAAAAGCCAGGGCCGGCCAGGGCCCCCTCGGGGCGGATGGCGAATCCGCCACGGCCCACAGTGGGCCAGCAGACCGGTGGAGGCGGCCAAAACTCGACGCGTTTTGAGCTCCAGAGTCGCTAAATGGGACTCGAACCGAACGTGTGACCCCACCAATGGATTGCTTTCCGAACGAGGAGTCCATTGGTGGGGTCACACGTTCGGTTCGAGTCCTGTCTAGCGACTC